TACTCTGTTTAAAGCATTTAGATAAAGTCTTGAGTTCAAGGAATATATGGGATTTTATTATTTATGGATAAAATCCCTGAGCGTCTGTATTGTTTTTATGTTCAAGTAAAGTCAAATATAAATAAGTGGATTTTTTTGATGTAGCAAAATGGAAAAATTATGAAGCCAAATCTTTACAAATAACTATTTGAGGTCATCAGCAGCTGGTTTGAGTCCATCTCCGGGTTTTAGTGAGTGCCCTAGTGCTCATCCTCCCCTGTGGGTGTTTGTGTGTAATGATGGTGGGATCCCATCCATTCTCATGGTAATTGGAGCTCTGGAATGGAGGGTTTTTGTTGTTTTATTTCTAGCAGGACAGTGCGGTCCTCCACAAGGGCTCATTGCTGAACTTTAAATTCCATCATGGGCCATTGCAGAGAAAGTAGCGAGCAGGTGGGTGATCCTTCCTTCTCTGTCTCACTTTAGCTTTTTTCTTGGGAAGAAACAGACAAGATTATGCTTTTAGAGTACTTTTAGAACACTGTTTTCAGGTAGCAGTTCAGTTTATTAGAATATCTTATTAACAAAAAAAAAAAAGCAGAGAAAAAAATGCATTTTATGCTAAAGAGATGATGCATATTTACCATAAATCACTTTGTGCCATCTTGACCAACTTTAAATTATCATTGCGAATGATCCGTCTCTGCTTCCGCCTGATAACCAGAGTTTAGTTTCTGATAAACCCTTGATGACTTGTGCTAATCCATCAGGTGTGACAGTCGTTGAGTCATGCTGGGTGTCGGAGGATCTGATGTTGCAAAGGCTGTTTTCTGTCCTGCGTCACTTTATGGTGCTTTTATGTTGCACAACACTCCCTGCTGTGACTCTTTGAAACTACGGCGCTCTTTTACACATAAAATGTTTGATTAAAGACAGGACTTAATTCACATTTAAAATAAGCTGTCCTCAGTTTTAAGCAAGTTAACACAGTTACTGTGATCTTATTTTTTTTTTTAATCCTACCTGATGAACCTTGTGCGATGAAAGAAAATGGTGTGTGTTCAAAGGACTAGTGCAAATTTTTTTTTGTCCATCAGGTTTAATCGTTTAAAGAACGACCATCCTGCGACTGTTAGATGTTCCTCTGCTTTAACACACCTGGATCGCATGATTAGGTCATTTAGGAGGAAATTCATTTAATTCAAGTTACAGGACTTCTGCATCCAGATTACTTTCAATATAGATAGAAGCCATAATTGCAAATATTACAGCAAAAGTATAAACCATTATATTATTTTATATCTTTTTCAGACTGAGAAGTGTGTAAAATTAGCACTTTTTATTGAGGGGAAGACTTCAGAGACAGAATACTTTAAAGGTTTAATATGGCAGAATAATGTTTGGCTCCTTTATTCATTAAGCTTTCTAGAGACTGAATTTAACTCTTAAGATGCTCACTCAGTAAATCTAAACATTGAAAAAATTAGGAAAGTAAAACAAGATTAAGAAAGTAAAAACACGTTTTTCTTTTTTTTTTTGGATGATTTTTTTTTATTTTGTGACCAATATTAACCTTATTTTAGAGGCATATGTCTAGCTAATATTCAAAATGGGAAATTAATCCCTGAATAATATTTAATGAAGATCATGCATGATTTATTATTTCCTTTTCAAAACATAAATTAATTTTCATTCAGCTTTGCTTAAAGTCAATGTGTGAACCCTATGGTTTTTAATCAAATTCAATGAATAATTTGCTTCGATTATTATTAAAGTATTTTTATTTTGTAATTATAAATCCCCTTCTTTTGTCACTTTTAAGGCGATAACTTGTATTTATTTATTTTTTAAATCTATTTGTAATAATTACCTTAAAATATGTAATTGTTTGTCTATTTATTGAATTTTGGGGCCTTTTTTGGTACCTTTATAAACTTCTAAAATTGCTCCAAAAACCCAATTATTTTCATATCAAGCTAAAATTGGTCTGTATGTTTTGGGTTTTTTGTGTGTTTGTTGTTCAGGAATGATCCAGCTTTAAAAGTGAGCCAACAAATATAGAGTTGCATTATGATAATCGCCCCAAGTCAGATTATTTCTGGTTATACAGTCTTTTTAAAAAAAATGTGTCAATCTTTTTTTACAACTAAGAGAAATACAACATATGTTCTATGAGTTTAGGAAAACTTATAAATTATCTTTGTATCCAATTTCATGACTGATTTGACTATTTCTAGTGGTTTGCATGTTTTCACAACATCAAAACATAATGCCTGTGTTTGTAGGCAATATTTACCAGGACATAGTAAAGACATTCTTATAAACTAGGTTAAAAACATCCTTCCCAGGTTGGTCGGGATGAAAACTGTTGCATATTTAAGGGATTGTGAATCGGAGCGTGTGATTCGGTTTTGTGTTGTGCCACATCAAACGTGGGAATGAGGTGATTGATTCCAATTAGAAACCAAGTCCATTGTTTTCGATCGCATTAGGCAGTGTTTCAGGGTGACCAAAAAAGACAACAACCTATTAGTGGGCCAGTTTCTCTCCGGCTGAGTGCTGGCAGTGGGTGGGGAGGTGGTGGAGACGGTGGATGCTGCTGCCTGATAGGGTTAAAGTCATGAGAAAAGCTCATTTAAGTTGAGCTTTAGCAATGTCACAGGAAGAGGGGGCGGGATGGGAGGGAGAAAAATAAAAAGAAGCACATTGTGTAATTATATTTCCTTTTTTATGCTAAAACTTCTATCAATTAGGGTTGAATTCCTTACTAATCATTACACGCCAAGATCCTTCAATCAGGGCAGTAAGCAGGATGATGAGATGAGGGTAAGCAGAGTTAACTTTGTTAGTGACTGGCAGCTTCTGTTTGAAGAGGATGAGCGATGTCACCACGGCAACACGACAAATCACTGCACATGCTCAGGCTTCACCAAGTGAGACGTCCAACTCTGATCCACAGACTAAAGAGTTCAGAAGTGTCTGTGTCAGGCCCCACCTGGATTTCCTTTTGCTTCATTTTTAAGTCATCCTTTTTTAAAATACTGTTAAAAATCTGATATGTTCTTGACATTTCTAGCTTTTACTATCAGCCTGAGATATGCCTATTTAGCAATAATCAATTTATGCTTTAGCAGTAATTAATTTAATGCCTTCTACAATAATATTTTTGACATATTTAGAGTGGGGACTTTTGGAGTTAGCCGATTTTTTTTCTAAAATGTCTCTCAGTTTGCATCAATTTTAACTCCTATCTAAAAGGTTCGATGTCTCTACAGTGACGCGTGCTCAGATGAAGTTATATTAAAAAAGGTATAGATATAAACATCAGGGATGGATACAAAAATGTACTCCTTTCAAGTAGAGGATTCAAATCTATGAACATCAGCTGCAGTATAATGAAGGTTCTTGTATAGTGAATCTCTATTGTTTGGATATTCAAGTGATGTTTTTGCTAAAAAAAGAAGCCCCTGCCTCTTCGTCAGACTCGGAACTTTCCAAACAGAAATCCATAGCTTTCTTTTTTTATTTAGAATCTCTGATGAAGAACAGAAGTACTGTTCTGCATAAGTGATGGTATTTAAACATGAAGCAATGCAAAGTGGTGAATCCACCGATGTCCAAAGTTAGTTCTTGATAGACAATGTTTGTTTTTTTTTCTCTTAAATGTTGTTTTTACATAACAGAAAAACAACAAAAACTGTGACAGTGAGATGCAAATGATTCATAAGAGTAATACAAGGAGGTTATATATGCTTGATCTCCTACGGTGTCTCTGTTGTGGGCTCGGTATGTTGTCCATTTGTCCCATTTTGTGTGAAACTCAACTTGCTTCAGTTTCAACTCATATGTGAGTTAAAGATTTCCTCCACCGTGTCCATCCAGTACCTCAGAGCATTAGGGTCACATCTGTACCATTTCCCAGTGATTCCTTTCTTGGCTGCAACAGTATTTTAACCAAATATCTATCCTCACATTGTACAGTATATAAACGGTAGCAATATATAAACCAGTATCTTTTCAAATGTACCTTCCAGTATTTCTGCAATTTTATACAATGCGTGCTGCTCCCAACACCATCTCTAGCATGTTCATTGTGTTTGTGTACATTTATTTTGCTTTTAAGGCTCATAGCAATCGATATTTTTGACCAAACCCATCATGCCTCATGTAATTATAATACATATTGAAGCCACTAATATTTAAAAAAAACATTATTCATTGAATTTGGAACAACAATTTATGGTTGTGCTCTTAAAGTATGTATATAAATGAATTGTAGGCATTTATACAATCCTTAACATAGTGGACAGTTTCTGTCACAACAAAAAGAAATTACCAAAAAAATCAAACTATCTTAACTATTGAATGAATAATAATAATAAATCATTAGTTGTTGTGGATTGTGTAAATGACAATATCTCTGCGTCAGTATGAAGAGCATTATTGTTGAACATTTGTCTCTAATCGTCTGCAAGGTTCCATTTAGTTTTTTTCTTATTGCATTTACGGAGAAATATGTCCATCACCAGAATTTGACATCGAGATGGAAAAAACACAGGGGCAGTAATTGAAATGCATAAGGAGCACATGTTAGTCCCCCTGACGTCTTTAAAGTTTGCTCTGCTCCTGAGAGCCCGTATCTCTGCAGCGGCTGTCAAAATCCATTGTGCCATTCACAAAGAGCCCAGGGTCCTCTCCAGTTTTGCCTCCATTCATTAGAGGCAGCGATGCGTGATCGAGGCTTTCCCCTCAGTCCCAGACTTCCACAGAGAGGGAGCCTCATGTGAGTGATAGCAGCTATGGGACCACAAACGATCTGGACAAGGAGAGTTGCTCAGGGTGGGACGGGTAGGTGGGTACCAAGTTGTTAGGTACGACTGACTGGATACATGGGTTTGGAAGCTGTTTCTCCTTTTGTTTGTGCAACAAGCTGATTGGTTTTAGTTTCCTTTTTTATTTCAAACTATGGACAGACGTTTTTCATAGCTGCATTTTAAGGAATCAAAATCTTGTCTTTGCAGAGATGACGCAGCTTTCATCGCAGCCCAAACCCCTGGACGCAGCCGCCGTCTCCGACGAAGCCCCCACAGCTGGCACAGGTCCCGAAGATCTTGACCAGAGGATGCTGGAGAAGAGGTCAAAGGTCGTTGAAGAGCTGCTGCAGACTGAGGAAGACTACATCAAAGACCTGGAAATGTGCATTGATGAGATCATTATTCCACTGCAGGAGAAGAAGGTAAAACGAAGAAAGCATGGTACATATAAATACCATGATGCTGTGCTTTCTGAAAATGTTTAATTTTATGTAGATTAAGCATGCTTAGTGCAATCCATCTATACCATAATCTGTCCAATATAATAGCTTGATGTTAATGGAAATACTAACCTACCAGGTGAAGGTGGACTTTGAAGGTCTCTTTGGGAACATCAACTCTGTCATTGAATTGTCCCGTCGGCTGCTTGGAGGACTGGAAAATACTGACTCAATAGGTACGGAGTCAGTTCTTTCTTTATTTAAATGATTGCAACTCTGAAAACATTTTCTGTATATAACTGTCCTCAGATGATTTACTCTTAAAGCCATTTGACATTATTCTCCTTCTTAGTAAAAAAGTTAAGATTCTTTTTTTTTGTTTTTTTTCTGTTTTGATTTGGATTCCAAATCTTTAGTTTTTTCCCGCTTGCCGTTTAAATTAAACACACTTTTATAACGTGTTTGTGTCCTGTGCTGTCAGGCGGTGTCTTTCTGAGCTTCAAAGCTGAGCTGGAGGAGGTCTACAAGCTCTACTGCCAAAACCACGATGATGCCATCTCCCTGCTGGAGACCTACGAGAAAGACGAAAACATTCAGTGCCACGTGTTGGAGTGCCTGGAGAGACTGAGGTGCGTAAAGCCCGGTTCATGCTTGATGCGCCTATAAGGTCCAGCAGCCTGAGTTTCTGCATGGAGCTTTAAGAAACATTTGTAACTTTGCGGAAAACAGAGTGGACGAGCAAAGCTCCTCCTAGTTACCCCACATAGATTCCGTGTTTGTTTATTAAAAAAAAGCTCAATATTTCTATAATTAGTTTTTTTAATCTGTGTTTCCCTAAATACATATAAGTATTTTTATTTCTTTTTTAGCTAAATAGCTAACCTTAAAGCCTTTCCTCTTTATTCAACCTTCCTACCTCAAATATGGATTACTCCACACTATAAAACCTCATACCTCTCTATCAGGGGTCTGAGACCTTTAAAATACAAATTGCCATTTTTACATTCAGTCCAACTATTCAATCGCTTTCAGAGCCACAAACATAATTTAAACTTTTTAAAGAAAGAAAAAGATCACTTATATTTTCATACATTTGTACCAAAGACTTGCCCTTTAAATAATCAGCTTACTATCTCAAATTTTAGGTTTTAAAAATGAATGAAAAACACTTTCAAAAAGAGAATGAATACATTTCAATGTGTCACAGACGTTTTAAAATCAATAAAATAAATTTCCATTATATTTCGAGTCAATTTATTTTGGAAATTCAACTCAACTAGTGGATGGAGAGAATTCTAACCAAAACACTTACCAACAAAGACTATTCCAACAATCGCCTGGCTCTTCATCATGTTTTAGTCAAAGTAATGAGGTGTCTAAAGAGCCACAGGTTGCCTTTTTGCTTAAACAAAGGGTGCCACTATTAATTAGATGATAAAGTCATTAATTTTTAACATTCCTGAGGTCCATCACCAGGTAACTGAAAACCTGGCATCCAAAATAAAACATTTAGTGGTTTAGTGGCCTAGATATGGAAACAACGAATACCCAATTTGTAGTAAAATCTGCCTGGAGACTGGATGCTAAGATTTCCTATTGGTCTGTTTATGTTGATTTTTCTCTCTCTCTACTGAACTAGTAGTTACCAGACAGAAATATAAAAAAATATATATATCATATTTATATCAGAAAACTCATGTAAGTTTATTTAAAGTTTTATATTTTTTTTTAGATTTTTATTTCTAGGTTGTCTCTGACTCCCTTTAAATCCCTGACAGTTTAGCATCAGACATATTGTTATGAAAGAGAAGTACAACCGAAGTTGACTATTTGATAAGTTTAAAGCTATGAAAGTGTTCACACTCTGAGCTTCGAGCTCTTCTTTAGAAGTCAGTCATGTGGAGCATTTCTGGAATGTCCCCTTCCTTGTTTCTCCTGTCCGGTTTCACCCTCTGTGACTCAGTTTCTTTAGCAGACACGCTTCTGTGTTTTAGTAAATTATGGTCGTGTTTAAAGATAAACATGATTTTTGCGAGGCAGGAACCTGCAGAACAAATGGGCTGTGGTTCCATAAACAAAAGGAAAAGGACTGTTGTAAGAGAGCATTATATTGTTAACATCTTGCCTTATCTTACAGGCTTTAGTATTTTTTCTTCATTTTTTCTGCTTAATAAGAACTTCTGTATTTATTGATGAAATGTTATCCACCAATCAAATGAAAGGTTCATGTAATTGACCGTTTACCAAATCAATGTTTTTATTGCTCCTCTGGGCTTCTATCCGAATTTAAATGAGAAATCTTCAATCAGAAAAATTGTTGCTCCTGATATCACTTTCAGTCTGAATCTCATCTTTTGATATTGACAATAAAATGATTCTTTAAATTTTGTCAACAATAAGATTCTCTGAAAGACTTTTAAAAATCCAAGCATGTCGCTGTAAATTCTGTTTTTTATTTCTCCGTTTCTTCCCCTTCCTCCTTTCTACAGGGCAATGTACCGCGAGTGGTAAGTCTTCTTGATTAGTGTCGGCATGATTTTCCAGCATGGGAGCCAACCTGACTGCATGCTTGCTTTTCATGAACTAATGACATCCCTGTTTTTTGTTCAAAGTAAAAAAAAAACAGCTGTGTTGAATGGAAATGTGATCTTTTACATGTTGTGGTTTGTGTCTGCATGTCTATTGTCTGGTCCTGTTAAGGCCAGTTTAATGACTACTGGGCTCTTGTCAAATTAAGATTAATTCTGGGAAACAATGCCACCTACAGGACTAAAACGGCAACTGCAACTTTGCAACTGCAAAAATATTTAGAAATGTGTTTAAAAGAAATCAGAAAAAAAAGATCTGTCCTGTAGATTGCATTAAAACTAAGAAAATCAATTTTCCTCTATTCCTTCTGTGTTTCTCAGAGGTTTTGGTCATCATCAGAAATCAGCATGTGATGAAGTCTTTATCATTGGATCATACAATCCATATGATAACTGAAATAAGTCTCCATCACTGCTAATAGCCTGTAGCAGCAGCTACTCTCGTGGTGACTTAGTGTGATCCTTGTGACACTTGAAACCTCTTACACATTATTTTAGTTTACTAAATAGATAATCAGTTTTTTCTGTCTGTTTTTCAGGGGTAAAGCTAATTACATCAACCTGGGCTCCTTCCTGATTAAGCCGGTGCAGCGGGTGATGCGTTACCCGCTGCTGCTGACGGAGCTGCTGGGCGCCACTCCGGAGAGCCACCACGACCGTCCCCAGCTGACTCAGGCTGTGACGGCCATCAAGCAGATCAACGTGAACATCAATGAGTACAAGCGCAGAAAGGATCTCGGTAAAAATCTTTAAAACTCGCTTCTCTTCATGCGTTGCTTTTATGTCCAAAATTGTCACATTGAAGTTTATTTGAGGGCCACAGATTTTGAAAGCTTATTATTTACAAAGCAAGCTTGTATTAATATGGAGTATTGTGATGAAAGAAAGGAGTCAAAAAGAGAGAAAGTCAAAAGGCAAACTGTTTCCTAATTTTTGCGCAAATTGGGAAATGCTTAAAGTTTTACCTTTTATTAGTAAGTAAATAAAACACAAATACTTTTGTAGAGTACCTGACATTTTCCAGTTTGGGAAGATTACAATTTTCCCCAGAAACTTATTTTACACTTTTTTACTAAGGGCCCCCAGATCATTCCAAGGGCCGCTAAGGGTCCTTTGGTTGCTCTTTGGACACCTCTGATCTAAATCAACCTGATGGAGCTCTAGCTTTCTTTAGCTTCATCCACCTTCGCATCATCTCTCATCTGCTTCCTTGTTCCTGAGGAGGAAAAGAATCCCACAGCATGATGCTGCCACCACCTTTCCTCATGCCTGGGTTTCTGGGTTCAGGGTGATGAAAAGTATTTGGTTTTGACCACATATAGCTTTCGGCATTTAGACCAAAAGGCTGTTTGTTTAGCAGAGAACAGCTGGATTCTAAAGAGATTAAATTACAGAGGTTGACTCAAAGTTATTACTGGATTATTTAAGGGTATCAGGGTAAAGGGGGACAAATGCAAAAACATCTAAGACTTAAAACACACAGAAGAAGGTTTTGCATTTATTTTTTCTTTCACTGCATATTTAATGCACCAATTTATATGTTTTTACCAGAAATGAACTAAAAGATGTTTATGGTGGTAATGTGAAAAAATGTGGAGGTTCCTGATAGCAAACTATTTTACAAAGCTCTGTAAATGTTTTTAAGATTTTTTTTGTTCTCTAGCTTCCCTGCTCATTCTCTCCCTCTGCTGTTCTCAGTGGTGAAGTACAGGAAAGGAGAAGAAAACTCCTTCATTGACAAGATCGCCAAGCTGAGCATGCACTCCATCATTAAGAAATCAAACCGCGTCAGCAGCCACATCAAGCACCTCACAGGAATGTCTCTCCAGGTCTGCTTTATTTGGTTGTGTATTTTTTTTTCTTTGTTTTTCATTGCTTCAAATATTTCAAAAGCCTAAATGTAAATGAATTTTTTCCCCCAGATTAAAAATGAAGATTTTGATGTTGCTGAGAAGAAGTTCAGGCTGCAGGAGAGACTAATCAAGTCTTTCATCAGAGACATCTCCATGTACCTGCAACATATCAGGGTAGGAAGCTCAACAGCACAACCTACAAAAAAAAAAAAAAAATTCATTTCTGCACGTCATTTCCATTTTAATGTAAGCGTCACGTCTGACTTGATCTCTGTATAGGAGTCGGCCTCTGTAAACGTCTTGGCAGCCATGAGTTTGGGTGACATCTACACCGAGCGCAGCGTGCTGGATCCAGAGCACTTCCACAGAGCTCACCGCAGCATCAGCGACAAACAGTTCGCTCTCTTTGTAAGTACTAACCCTCTATTTTAGCCTGACTAAGGGACGGTTTTACTCTGCAGCTCATATCAGCAGCAGTCCTGAGGATCCATGGAGCAATGTGTGTGTGAGATCCCTTTACTAATCCAGAAAGGCACAGGAGCGGTCGGCTTTCTGGGAGAGGTCTATAGGTCCTATAAATTTGCAAAAATAGACTTAAACTGATTCTTATCTCTTTTGTAGAATTGTAATAACAACAAGATAAGCATTTTTAAAGTTTTTATAGCTTTCCTTGAATTGAGTATCATTATTTATATTAAGAGTACAATTCAAATAATACTGGTTGAAGAGAGTCATTTTAACCTTTAGTGTTTTCTGTTAGCCACTAGTGCTGTTACCACTGCTAGTATAACTAAAACAGCAGTTTTTCAGAGATTACAGAATGTACAGTAAGCCCTGAGTTATCCAAACCCACTGCAGATTCAAGTATTGTATATTAATATTACTTTATAAGTATTTAATAGCAGCCCAGCTGTAGTCCCAATTTAAGTCTAATTGTGAATCTCAAGCTTAGGGTAATGACATGGAGGCCTTCCAACTTTATTACCAATAATAAATCATTTATATACTAACAGAAACCTACCATTCGCTGTTTAGAGGTATTAATGACATACATTTTTTTCTACTACTGAATAAAGAAACCACAATTTTTTATCATATAAGACATGTCTCCCTTATATCTTGTCAGAAACAACCTTCTTTGATAAATAACATTAAATTTAAGTCAAGATATTTTATTTAAAAAAAATACTTTTGTAGAAAATAAAGCTGTGTTCATCAATAAATGTAATACACTCTGCGTCTGCGGTTGAGTTAGTCCCAACAGTAATAATGTCAGTCCTGATCAGATAGAACAATTTTGGATAAATTGTAAAACCGTTTTCCTTTTTTTTTCCTCCTGAGCAGAAGGAGCGCACCGAGTTGCTGGTCATCAAACCTCTCTCCCAACTCCTCGCCATGTTCGCCGGGCCACACAAGCTCATCCAGAAACGCTTCGACAAGTTGCTCGACTACGACAACTGCAAGGAGCGGGCCGATCGCCTGAAGGACCGCCGCGTGCGAGACGAGCTGCAGGTGGCCCGCAACAACTACGAAGCACTGAACGCCCAACTCCTGGATGAGCTGACGAAATTCAACATGGTGGCGGAGGACTTGTTCAAAGACTGCGTGAGCGCCTTCGCTCAGGCCCAGAGGGACTTCATGAAGATGACGCTGGGAGAGCTGACGCCCCTGCTGCAGGTTGGAAACGTGTTGAACGCTGCTGTTTAGATCGGCTCTGGGCTGATGACCATCCCCAGTGACATTTTATGAATTTGCTAAATTTCTACTATACATTAACAGTAATGGCAATAATATTGCCCTTTAAACATTTGTCTGGCTGTGGGCTTACGAAGAGACTTACATAAAAAATTAAATCAAAGAAGTGGCCTAACATGACTATCTGTGAGGGATTTGCACAAACCAGCCAGAAAACCACTGAAATTTTTCAAAAAAAAATCTTAATTTATTCCCAAAATTTAAAAAAATTATAAACTTGGCCCCAAAACAGAGGTGAACAAAACAGAATTCAATTCAGGCTTTAAGATCAAGAACTCAAGCACAAACTGACTGAACAAACAGGACATGAGGGAAACTTAAATAGTGGCTGATCAGACCACTGTTGACACACGAGGGGGATAACTGACCAACAAACTAATAAACAAATAAACTTAATTAAACAGATAAATACTGGCCAGACACTAAATACCTTTTAAATTAAACTAATTAACAAAATTACCCAAACTAAGAAAATGTAGACAAATGATAAACAAATTTCCTTTCCCATTACAAATGGTTTGACCCACTGATTAGCCTGCAACAACCAATTGAGGAAAGCTGGAGCTCATTGCAGCCCTCCACCAGCAGATCCAAAGGAAACTGGCAACTCAAAGAAAAATAAATTAATCAATTACATCTTGACAAAAAAAAAAAACAACAACCTGACAAATAAAGGTAACTAAATGCGTGCACTGCAAAAAGCTAAATTAAAGTCAGGCTAATGAAAATATATGAAATGTGCAACTCATTTTGAAAAGGAAAAATGTAAAAGTTACCACACAACCGTACCATGCATATTACTTTTGGTCAATAGACTATATTAATTAGGCTATGTATGATTCCAAAAAAATAAATCGACCATCCCCCCCCTTTTTTACAACTAGACTACTGTATACAGGAATAGACAAATAAACATTCCAGATAAAGCAATTGAGAAATATACGTGGAAGCTAAATTTTTCTACAACTTTTTTTTTATATCAATTCCCCTGATATTCTTCAAATACCAGTTCTTCCTTCCTTCATTATCTACAAATCTCAGTGTGTTACACCTGTGGTGCCTTTTTGTGTGGTTTTCAGATCAGCCAGAAAGATTGGAGTTTTAAGCAACGTTCGTTTAAAAACCCTGATCCAACAATTCAATTAAATTTACTTACACAGCGCTAATTCACAACACATGCCCTCCCAAAGCACTTTACAGACACAATTCAACCAGATCATACAGTCAGATTTAGTCAAGGTTTTCTATTGAAAACCAGTTGATTGCATCAACTAATTTACTCAAAGGCAATCCCTCACACAAAGCATGCTTGAAGTGACAGTGGAGAGGAAAAGCTCCCTTTTAACAGGAAGAAACCTCCAACAGATCCGGAGTCGGCGTAAGACAGGAGTTCAAGGCGACAGAAGCAGCCTTGGAAAGTTTTAGATAAACCAAATATAGACAAAGAATAGCATGTAAATATAAAACCACGTAAAAAGCTGTTTGTTTTTAAAAAATTCAGATTGTTTTATCTCTTTTATGGCTGAATAAGCAACACAGACAATGAACAATTTTTTTTTGCACTTCTTTAGAATTTTGATGATAATATCTCTCAATACTGATAGTAAAGGCAACGGAAAAAAATAAAATAAATTAAGGGTAAAATGAATCACATACATACCCTAGATTCACATTTGGAGCATTTCACAAAATACAGCCAGCAAACACTGTTACACCTATTACACACTCCTTACTTTGTTTTCCTTCTGTCTTCTTCTTTGTCATCAGCAGTTTTCTAACAAAGTCACTTCAGGGGCAGAAGTGATTTCACTGTTTCAAGAGGAGTACAAGGGGGTTCTCAAACTCCTACAGAGCTTCAGTTTCTGCCCGGAGAACCTCCCGCAGCCAACGGCAACCACGAAGAAGCCATTTGATAGGAAAACGCTGGAGAAGCAGCCTGCTAAGAAGCAGCCTCAAGGACCTGTGAGTTTAATCGACTTGTTTAAATCTAAAAAGAAATCAATCAAGCAGCTTCACTACTCATTGGCTTCAAATGTTTTCCAGCCGAACCACATCGTGCAGACGGATGAGCATCGCTCTGCGCTCCTGGCCGGTTACGGTCCTGAGGAACTTTACCAGGCGGAGAGGAACTTCAATGCTGCTCAGGATCTGGACGTCTCCATACAAGAGGGAGACCTTGTGGGTATAATAAAGCAGCAGGACCCTTTGGGAAGCAACAACCGTTGGCTTATTGATAATGGAGGTAGTTTATTACACAGTTATTATGCAGATCTTCTAAAGTAGGCATGAGTCCTAAACTTATTGACGTTTTCTTTCTGTTGATTCCTATTCTGCAGTCACCAAAGGTTTCGTGTACAGCTCCTTCCTCAAACCGTACAACCCACGCAGGAGCCACTCTGACGTCTCCATTGAGAGCCACTCATCCAACGAATCCGGGTACGGCGGCTCCTCCCCCGTTTTCTCCCGCCAGAACAGCAACAGCACTTTAACCTTCAACCAGGAGACGGCCACCGTCAGCTTCTCCACCTCACAGTCCAAGAACCACTCTTCACCCCAGCCGTCGTTAGAATCTGCCTCGTCTCGCCGAAGCCACCACAGAGACGCGACGCCCAACCCCGACAGCAGCATCCAGAACTCCTCGGCCCAGAATCACTCGAACCGCAGAGATTTCCCGGACTCAACTCGCAGGAATGCCGCCGATCACAGAGACTCGGAGCAGCCCTACGGGCACAGAGACTCGTACGATTCCAGGTACGAGAGCAGAAACAGAGACACATCGGACTTCTACGAGACGGACTCGTCTTCTTCTCAGAAGAACAGCAGCCGATCAAAAAGACACGGACATGCAGAGAAGAGCTACAGTTCGCCACAGTGGAGGAGTGGAGATGGTAGCATCCCAAGGAAGTCTGCTTACAGCCGAGAGGAACACAATGAGCCGGAACCAGAACCAGAACCAGAACTTGAACTAGATGGTCATCAGGTGAGACTTTGAATGCTAAGCTCAAATTTATTAGGATTTCGCTTTTCTTCCTGCTTTTTACACATCACTACCACGACTTTTAACACATTTTAACAAAAGGTACTGCATGGATGTAAAGTTGGATAAAAAAAAAAAAGGATATTTTGTTTTTTTTGTGTTTTTAACTCCAGCCTAGCTTCACTTCCGAGTCCTTATTAGATTAAAGTTTGAGTAGGTCATTCTAACAGGTCTTGGTCTAGACTAGGGCTGCAATTAATGATTATTTTGTAAATAGATTAATCTGTCGATTATTTTTTTCGATTAATCGATTAATAAACGGATAGCCAAGGATTCCCAGATGAAACTTCGACTTTTCCACTGGAGGAGTTCTGGATAGAGCATATGGACAGATGGAAAAGCTTTTTTATCTTAAGGATAAAAAATTAATTTATTATTATACGATTTTGGTATAATTACTGTTGCTCTGTTGTCTAAAGGTGTGTTTTTGAGTCTCAATACTCTAACAATTGATTGCGGTTAATTTTATTAATTGTTTCATCCTATTTTAAACCATTTGTCTCAAACTCTTAACTGTCCCGCTGCTATTAAGGTTCTTCCCTCAATTCTGACGATCTGAGCAAAATAACAATCATCCTAAACATGCTTACTTGTCTTGTTTTTTTTTTTTTTGTAAAGTCCTAATAAAACTTATTTAAGTTGCATTTATAAGGCAACAAACCAAGAAAAAAATGTTTAAGAATACTTTTGCAGGTCATTGTGTTCGGAAATATTAGTCAAGTTTAAATCGGATTTATAGGTAAATTAATGTAGAGCATTGAAAACAAAAAAACATAAAAATATCTTCTTTGTTTTATTAGATTTACTACGCTCTGTACTCCTTCAACGCCCGCTGCGCCAATGAAATGAGCATCTCTGCGAACGAGCGTCTGCGCATCTTGGAGTTCCAGGACATGAACGGAAACAGCGAGTGGTGGCTAGGGGAAGCCGACGGAGGAAGACGAGGATACGTGCCTTCCAAGTACATCCGCAAATCTGAGTACACATGAACAAGCTCATCGCCGGAGGACAGTTCGGTCTGAGGAACTTTGCGAGCTTTGAGCGAACAAAAACATACAAAGAAAACAAGCATATTACTGTAACTTATTCTCAAACAGATCTCCTTGACTTTGAAATGGACTTTACAACTCATGCTACTGGGATTGTTTGTATTTATATACTTTTTTTTAAAAGATATTTTTTTACTAACTAGAAGGTGCACTTTGACCTTCTGTTCCCACATCATTACCTGTGAAATGCCATATTATCTGATGCCATGCACCATCAGTTTGCATGTTAAACATTGGGAGAATGCAATGAAAATTTTTAGGGCTATTTTTTTTCCCATCATGTGGCTTTTGACTCCTCTACTTCAGCCCAGGAGCATAAGATGCTGCAGATTTCTGCCACGCTGGACAACAATCAACCTCTGAGGCACTTATTTTGGTCGCACATTTGCGGTGTCTGCAGAACAATCACCGACAGCTTGGAGTGTTGTGTGGGTTTAACGCAAATCTTCTGGGTTCAAATCAGAACAAAAAAATTCAAGTGCATAAAACGTTATGGTTTACAGCTCTGCTTTTGAACTCGTCTCAGCTTCCTGGTTTCTTGTGTTAACCAGATGGGTTGGATCTTCCTGTAAGGAATGTTGCAGCCTGATTCAGTTCCTCTCCACATGCTTCCGTTGTCTGTTCTGGCCATATTAAGACTTATGATCTTGTGCTCAATGTAAGGTATTCCCTGTTTGAATAAAATACTGATCAGATGAAGACTAACCTGTTTGTAAGTTTGTTTCATGCCTCTATAACGGATCTAACTTAGTTGGGTAGGTTTTGTGATAATAAGCACCTTTTCTTACGTAACCAAACATGATAATCAAAAGAACTTGTTATTAAGCGGGTTTTATAGAATATGTGAAGCAAAAAGTAAGGTCATAATTAGGTTTATCTATGTGAAATAAACATTTTTTTTTTACTATTGGGAAAAGTCTTGAATTTGATTAAGGATTTTCTAGAGATTGAACTTTATTGATCTCACAATGGAGAAATTAACTCTGTTTTTATCTCATCCACTTTTGGGGAGCAGTGGGCTGCCACTGTGCAGTGCATGGGGAGCAGTGTGGGGTTAAGGGTCTTGCAAAGAGACCCGGGGTGTTGGCTGTGGGGATCGAACCAGGTACTTGCAACCTTTTCAGAGGTTGAAGCGCACTGCTTTAACCACTAGGCAGCCACTTTAGACCTGGATTATTGTGAAACAGGAAAACGAATGTTTCTTCATTTATTTCACATCCCAATTCTTGTTCTTCTTTAAAAGACCAATCACATAGCTCATGCACAACAAAAGGCTGCAACAATCCAGAAGAACAAAGGCCGGCTATTTGATTTGTATCTGACTTGGAATGTGTGCAGCAGGATGGACCTCCATGCTGCTTAAATACATCAGCTCACCTATTAGAGATTGCTCTGTACTAGGCAACAGAATTGAAAAAGACTCCTGGAACTGAACTGAACGAAAGTCTGGTTGCCTTCCAATTTAAGCCTGTTTGTGGTTGCCATGACTAGGATTACGGAGAAATTAGATAGGCTTGTTCTTTGATTCTTTGATGCTTTCCTTATGTCCTTCCTGAATCCCAACTTTGTGTCGTATTCTCTTTCCTCCTTTCCATCCCTTACTCTTAACTACTGACTATGTATCCTACCAGTGGTGGACGTAGGTACTAAAATGTAGTAATAGAGTAAAAGTATTGATACTAATAGTCAAAACAACTACAAGTAAAAGTTACTCAGTCAGACATCTACTCAAGTTAAAGTATAGAAGTACTAAATTTAAAAAGATACTGAAGTATTCAAAAGTAAATGCATTTAAAAAAGTATACAAATTACATTTTCTAATAGTAAATTTCTGTATAATTTTAAAGAACCTTGTAACTTTCAGAAACCACATGCTGATTGATGCCTAGAACCACCTGCTACAGATTCTACACCACCTGAAAAGTACTTCAGCATAAAAATACCCCCCAAAAAAACAAGAACAGCAATTCTAACTTCTTTATTTGACATTCAAAAACAAATCAAAAAGAAAACAGGAGTGTCTTGATTTTCCTCATGCTTTCACTATGGAATAGAGGTTTAAACTCATCCAAATTGCAACAACTAACACCTTATGTGAGTTTCTCATATTTGTGGAATGCCATTAAATCTCTAAAACACTGGTGTCTAAATTCAGTCCTAAGTGCTGCTATCTTTTATGTTGAAATTGCATTTCAAGAAATAAAAACGGCAACAGTCGATTACAAAGCTACGCTGAGCAAAAGGGAATAAGAACTAGCAGCTTCCTCAAAATGTAGTGGAGTAGAAAGTTATAAGTTATAAGTTGCAAATAAAGACAAGGCATAGATTGCAATGAAAAACTTTATTAGGACGCCGACAAAAGCAAGCATTAACTCTCAGCCCAGCTTTGAGTGACAGAAAACATAAAAAAAACCTCAAAAAGCTGAACCTGCCAGAATCAAATGTTTTATTTTTTCTAAATAAAGGAGCTTTGCTCAAAGTGCACTAAATGATCGATCTTAAGCTACAATGAGAGTTTTGATGCACTCTTCACCAACAGCCTTTGCTTTTACACTTATGATCAAATGCTGGTCATGAAAACAATTTCAGGTCCAGCTCTCTCACACCAAAAACACAAGCTTTAGTTCTAGTATTTCCTTTCGCTTATTTTCCTTCCTGCAACATGTTTAACTCTCTTTCCAGGTCAAATTCCTGGAATATCCTAAAATCCCTTCTGTTCAAAACATACATAAACCCTTTAGCTCACATTACAAATTAAGCCTTGGTTCAACGTTCTGGATGTCCTTCTTTGCAGCAGTTTATTGCATCAATATGGCCATTTTGAAAAATGTATCTTTTGTTAATTTCACTAAACTCCACAGAAGAGGATTAGGGCCAGTGGAAAAAAACAAAGTTAGATGATTTTAAAATTTTATTTCAGTTTAGTATGGGAAAAAAGTCAGAATTCTGACTTTTTTCTCAGAATTCTGACTAAATTCTGACAATAAAAAAGTCAGAATTCTGAGATTAAAGTCAGAATTCTGAATTTTTTCCCATACTAAATTGAAATAAAATTTAAAAATCAGTTAACTTTTTTTTTTTTCCAGTGGCCCTAATTCTCTTCCGTAAAACTCTAAATGAATTAATAATAAAATAACTATGGGTTTTCTATGGCGGCTTTACTGGAGATATTTGTTTTCACTGCATCCTGAATGGCAACTGCAGAGGAAGAGGAGGAGGAGGAGGACTTCTTCTCCATGGATCTGAATGACGTTGTAACTGTGGAGGATTTTTTCTGGACCGTCTGAATGGTCTTCTTCCTTTTTACGTGAAGAACCTCCATGGCGTCCATGTTGATGCCTTTCTTAATCTCCTCACTGGTCGCCACCTGCTCGGCGGTTTCTTGCTCTTTCTGCTGCTGCTCCATCTGCTGCTGGTGATGCAGCTGAAAGTAAGAAAGTTCTCATTTGTAAATAAGGGCTTTATTAAAAAAAATGTAATTTTTTCATACTGCTAAACAGCCTTCCTCACCATCATCATATGCTGGTACTTTGCAATAGCCTCATCAGTGGTAACTCCCTCAGCAAAGCCCAGCTCTGCAGCCCGGCGGGCGAGCTCAGCCTTGTGTGAGCCAGGAGGGGTCCATCCCACTCCTCTGATCCAGTTCAGGTCAGATTTGTAGTTCACCTGTGGAAATATAGAAAAAAAATATGCTTAATATACAACAATCAATTCAGATTGGTAATAATCTACAATCTTCATCCGCTTTACTTTTTGAAAATCCCTGTAACATAATCTTGGGTTTTGGATCTTGCTATGGCCAGCAGCATTTCTGACAATGCTGGACCTTGAAAAGTACTGTATTAAATTCCCAGCTTGAAAAATTCATATGAATTATACAATATTCTGCTGCACTATGGGGAAGGTTTCAGGAAAGGAGCAAAGTTCTGGTTATAAAAAGATTTACTGAAAAATCCTTAAAAGTTCCAGAGAGTAACAATCAAGTACCTGGAAAGTCATCAGTGTTTTGTATACAGTTTCTAAGAAAGTGGCTTACTAAACACCATCCCAATCAGAGGAAAGTGCAAACATGCAAGTTTCATAAAGTTCAAGAAATTTTCCAGTGAGTTTATTGAAATTTGCTGACTATCCAGTGAGCTCCTGAAAGGAACCACTATGGAAATGAAAAAAATCCTGTAATAGAAACAAATGTACGTTTTGCTAAAGAACCAATTAAGTTCTAAAAAAGCTGGAGGAAAAAAACATTTGAATTTCTAAAGAATAACCTCCCAGTTCTGAGTAAATAGAAAGTAAGTTCAATAAGTTCTAGAAAGTACCCAGGAAGTTCCACAAAGTAACCTTCGGGTTTTCAGAGGAACCTCCATATAAGTTCAAGAAAGGTACCTCTTAGTTAAAGGAATAGAACCGGTCGTGTTTCATAAAATTCACAGTGAGACACAGGAAAGCTGCTGATCAGTTTTTAAAAGGTGTTAAATTCCTGGAAAGTCACATCCAAATTTCAGGACACTACATCCTTTATACTAGTACTCTATACCCAGTACTTGAGTTGAGGGTGGATGAGGGGGGAGAGCGTCCCCCTTCTTAAATGACCATCCCCCCCAATACCATCCCCTGTAACATTTTATCACTGAATGTGTAAAATTTCTACTATATATTAACAATAATGGCAATAATATTGCCCTTTCAACATTTGGCGGGCCTTCGGCTTATGAGTAGCCTGAGCAAAATAAATAAAATCAAAGAAGTGGCCTACTATGACTATGTAGGTGATCCCAGTGGGAAATTACTCATTAACTATGTAGGGGCAGTAATAACCATGCTAGTTCAGCGACTGATTGCAGTTCTTCTGTAAGTTCATACCTGACTACGTATGCATACTACTTTAGGTCAATAGACTATATTAATTTGGCTATGATTGATTCCAAAAATAAATTCCACCATCCCCCTTCTTTTTGTTTTACAACTATACTACTGTCAATACCCACTATTAAACCAGGAGTAGCATAGTGTCTTACATCACTCTGCAGCTTGTAGGCCTGCTTGGCATGTTTGACCGTGAGCTGCTCAGGGTCACAGGTGTAGTCGTGAAGTTTACGGCGGTAGGTGATGTCGCTGGCCTGGGCCTGACTCTTCTTGGCCAGCAGGAACTCAGGCTGGTCTGGCCGTATGTTGTAGTGGGCGCGCTCCTCCTTGGATTGACGTTTGTACTCCAGGTTGCTCTGGAGCTTGCTTGCAGCCAGGGAGTGAACCATCTTTGGGTCGTCCTCCACACAGCGGAGCCCCACCTGCTGGCCCTTCTCCTTCAGGTGGGACTCCTTGTAGCTGTACTGTAAATGAAAGGAGATCACATCTCGATGGAAATTGTGTAACAGAAATGACCACTTACAAACTGGTCACTTAAACCGTAACTTGAGACCAAGTGAGTGTGCGTTTTTATGACTTTTGAACAAAAGAACTTACATCGCTTGCAATTTCTCTGGAGGCCTTGGCTGTTTGGAAGGGAATGGCGTCCAACCTCAAGTCATAGCCTGACGTCTTCACCTGTTCTCCAGATGCCTTGTAAACTTTCTTTATGTGAAAGAAAGTTTGAAGGAGAAAAATATGTTTGTTAATATCATATGAAGCTGCAGAAGACTTATTTGCAGATATGTATTTAAATGTGCCTTACATCACTAATCTGCTGAGCATTAATCTTTGCTCTGACAAAGTCTGGATCATCTGCGTGTAAAGTGTATTTATGCATGTCGTCGTTCTTTCCAGACTTGTACAGCCTCTGTAATACACAAAGCAAAAAAATATTTTATCCATATGTTCCTGTCAAATGACCCTTTAAAATACATATTCGGCACATTTTTTTTCTACCTACCTCACTGCACTGTTGATAGCTCGTCTTAGCGTGGACAATGTCAGGCGAGTCAGCTACAGATGTAAACTTGATTCTATCTGGCTGCTGACGGTACTTCTTCTGCAGGAAAGAACATCACATCACATTTAAAAACGTAACACTGTTAATATCATTTCAAAGACCAATAGCGCAAATTTAGAATTAGAATATATCTAGAGGGCCTTGGATATTGAAACAATCCTGCAAGAAGAGTAATCAGGCAAGCTTCAAATTAACAGGGTAAGTTTTTTTCTACAGAATAACTGTTGTTGGTTAAATTACAGAGACATTTTTTTTTAAGTTAGACCAAATAAGTCCAATGTTTTGATTTAGTATTCTTTTATTTTGGTAAAAATTATAAAAAAGAAAACGTGGAAAATAAATACATTGCAAAAATCATCTAGAAATAAGTAAAAAAAAATTCTCAAATTAAGTGTATTTCCCCTTAATTTGTGTAGATAAATAAGATGATTTGCCAATGGAATCACTATTTATACTCTTAAAATAAGATAATTAGATAATATGCACTTTAAATAAAACAATGCAATTGTTTTTTTTTCCTATTTTAAATGTAAATAGTCTTGTTCTATTAGTAAAGTGTCTCACTTACCTCCTCAATTCAAGAACTAAAGCACGTATTTTAAGAAAAAAATACTTGGTTAGATTAAGATTTTTTGCAGTGTAAATATGCAATAGCCTTCTATTTCTAACAGTATCAAAGAATTTTTTTTCTGGTATCAGTTTTTCCCTAAATACTCACATCACTGATTAAATCTCCTGCCTTCTTAGCCGCCTCCAGCTGAGGTGCTCCCACTCCATCCCACGCCACTCCTTTCATAAAACTAAGGTCTGACTTGTAGAGTTTCTATCCATGAAAGAGCAACACACATAAAGCAAACCATATCACAGCATTACATCACTTTCCTTTACCTTGCCTTTATTCCTTACCTCGCTCTGCAAGTCGTAAGCCTTTTTAGCCCACTTCACCTTCATGTCATCAGGAAGCACCGTATACTCATGCAGCCTCTTCCTGTAGTCCTGATCGCTGGCCAGGGCCTGGGCGTTCTTAGCCGACACCAGATGGATCATGTCTGAGGTCAGGTGATAACGGCCGCTGTCAGACAGAGCATCCCTGCGGTACTCCTGGTCACTGGCCAGACGGCCCGCCTGCAGGCAGTGCAGCAGGTAGGGATCCTCTGTCACACTCCTGACCCCAATGTGTTTTCCTTTTTCCAGCAGGTGATTGTGTTTATATTGGTACTGGAAATAAAGGCATTAGGTTATTTTCTTCTAAACATTGACTTGTGCATTCTGTTTTGATATCATACAGGAATATATTTTGGGTTCTTTTCATTTGAGAGAGCTTACATCACTGGCGATGCCTGTGGAGCTCTTAGCAGCCTGGAAGGGGATGTCCTGCATGGTGAGCTTGTAACCCTGAGCTCGTAGAGTATTCCAGGACTCCCTATACTTTACCTACGGAAATACAGTGCACATAAAATGACTAAAACATCTTGCATTATGTTTTTGTTTTGGAGAGAAACTACATTTGGGAAGAATACCTCACTGAAGTTGGCAGCATTTGCTTTTGCTTGTGCAATCTCTGGTCTCTCAGCTGTGATAGTGTATCTGTGCTGGTCATTTATCCCCTTTTCTTTGTACAAACGCTGTGAAAATACATTTCAATTGAAATAATATGTTGCATATTATGTTAGTAATCAAAAACCATATAAAAGTGCATCAACATTCTTACTTCATTTGTGATTTTTCCACTGAGTTTAGCATGGATGATATCTGGGGAGTCGGTAACTGAAGTGTGCTTGAAATTATACGGCTGCTGTCTGTACTTTTTCTGTAACAGCAAAAACAAAAAAGAAATAAATATTTGATGTCTGACTAAAAGTGATAAAAAGAGAATAGATAATAAAAAGAGAATGGAATTAAAATCTCACATCACTAATGAGGTCTGTGGCCCTCTTGGACTCCTCAATCTGCAGCGCTCCAGTGGCGATCCAGGCTGCACCTCGCAAGTAATTCAGGTCAGATCGATACACTCTCTGCAGACACAACAGATTAAAAATCTATACCCTGAAGATGACTTTTGGGATCCTTTTCTTCATTTTCAGCATTTCATTTTATTACAGCAGGATTAAGAAATATGGTCATAATTTTGGCACAGTTCATGTCAGATGTGTGTTATCAGGAGCATGTATCTAACTTTCTTTTTGGGCTTAAAATTATGCATTTAAGCAATTCTTTCTCCACTGTGATCATTTTCAAATGGGATTATGTGCAGGTTTTAATACCCCATGGATTAGACCTAATTAAACAAACAGCCACCACTTAACTGTCTGGTTTAATGTCTTTTCAATTATTTTTATTTATCTCCTATGCATATTTGGTGCTATTCCAAAACTGTAGTTTTAGGTTTGAATTTGAGATCATAATCCAGTGTTAGAGTGTTCAACTCCAAAAATAAAACTTTAAGTGCTCAAGCAGCAAGAACTCCTTCAACATCAACATCTACAATCAGGACTAAAATGTGATTCTCCCTACATAGAAAACCCAATTCTAGATAAAGGTTGCTAAAATCAGTTGAGATTAAGATTGAGCTGTTTGGCTCCAAAAAAAAAAAAACAGAAGAAAGATTGAGGAGTCATAGTGAGACTTTCCAATATAAAAGCCCTGAATTTGATCTCCATGTTGGTAGCAACACTTTTTTTTTTTTTTTTTTTTTTTGCAGGAGCACCGATAATTGCGCAAATGGAGTGGAAAAATGAAGACATATATCTATATAGATCTATAGATAGATAGACAGACAGACAGACAGACAGACAGACAGACAGGTAGATAGATAGATAGATAGATAGATAGATAGATAGATAGATAGATAGATAGATAGATAGATAGATAGATAGATAGATAGATAGATAGATAGATAGATAGATAGATAGATAGATAGATAGATAGATAGATAGATAGATAGATAGATAGATAGATCTTTCTGCCTCATTAAGGGTGCAGTAAACTTCTGACTGCAACTCTGAACCCATAAATAATGCTATCTAAAGCCCTTCTCACCTCACTCTGCAGTGCATACGCTCTCTTGGCAGCCTGGACCTTCATGTCGTCGGGCGGTGAGGTGTAGTGGTGCAAGGAGAGCCTGTAGTCTTGATCACTGACCAGAGACTGGGCCTTTTTAGCGTGTGCAACCTCAATCATATCCATAGGCAGGTGGAATTTCGAAAGCTGCTTCGCTGAGTCCTTCTTATATGTGATCTAAATTAATGACAGGGTGCAAAGAAGTTTATATGCTGTTATATTAGTCTAGATTAGGTACAGTGCACAAGCACTTACGTCACTTTGTAATTTGCTGGCATGGACTGAATGCGCAATGTTCAGGTCATCCTGCAGCCCCCTAAGACCGATCATCTTCCCTTTGGTCTTCTCAAATTCTTCTCTGTACTTAACCTGAAATGAAGCATCAAGTGCATTTTTTAATCTTACACTAATTCTCCTCGCAGTAAAACTGTTTCTGTGTGGTTGAGCTGTGTCTCACCTCACTCAGGATATCCGCAGAAGCTTTGGCCGACTGGAATGGAATAGCATCCAGGCTGAGTTTGTAACCCCCGTCTCTCAACTTTGTCCAGGATTCCTTGTATTGACTCTAAAAATGCATAAAGAGTCCAAACCAAATAGTCAGAACACTCAGCTATGAGAGATATACATTTGAAATCTAAAAGAGAAAAGTTTACCTCACTGATGTTTCTGGCATTGATCTTTGCTTGCACCAACTCTGGCAGCTCTCCACTTACGGTGTAGGTGTGCTTTATGTTTTCTCCCTTTTCTCTGTACAATCTCTGCAAAACAGAACCATGAGGTCAGATTTCAGTGTGCATGAGTGATGTATCCACAAAGGAAATACTAAACACACAAATGTCCCTTTTCCACCGGCTGTACTTGGCCTGGCTCTACTCTTGCATTTGGAGAAGACGGAAAAAAACAGGAGCCTGAGCAAACCAACCTTACTGTGAAGTACAGGGATGGCAGCATTATGCTGAGGGGATTTTTGGCTACAGGAGGGCTGACAAACCTTACAAAATAGATAAAAATCATGCGGAAAGTCAGCTATGTGAAATCAGAGTAATAAGTCAAGATTTCTTCCATCTAACCAGAGACAGTTCCTTTAAGTTCTGCTGTCAGCCACCTGGACCAGTTTATTTTTTTCATTTTAAAGATTTTTTTTTTCTGGGCGATTCTTGTGTCTATCTCACTGCTAGACAGGTGGGGATATACCATGGTCAGGGTACCAGTACATCACAGGTTGACACTAAGACAAACCATACATGAACACATTCATGCCAGACCAATTAAACAGTCATGGGCCTGGAGTACCCTGAGAGAACCCCTACATGATCTAGGAAAAATTCTACTAAACAGAAGTTTATTTAAGGTTCTGCAGATTTTTCAAAAACTGTTTTTGATTCAAGTCATTAATTATCAAGTTGGCTGCAAAATATGAGTCAAGATCTTTTCCATCTAACCAGAGACAGTTCCTTTGAAGGGAACGGACATAAATTCCAACAAACTATTGGGAGAAACAGCATATAAGACATTCAGATTAAAAGAAATTCTACCAATTAGGAAGAAAAAAAGGAAACATTTAAAAAGTAAAAAAAAATTCAACAAAAAAAAAAATTCAGCCTTTACTTTTTTTGTTTTTTATTAAATAGAAATATTTTCTGTTATTCTAATTTACCTGAGGAGGAAAACATTTAGATATCAAGAAAATATAGCCGTGTCTCTTTTTATATGACGTATGTAAACATCTGCCCTCTACAAAATAATAACTTAAAATAGTCATAATGTAGCTGAACTTACATCAGTAGCCAGTTTATTGCTGAGCTTGGCCTGGATCATCTCAGGCGTGTCTTCAACACTGGTAAACCTCAGAGAGCTCACGTCCTGACGATACTTTTTCTGCAGAGATAAAAGGAACAAATATTTGTTACACATTAGATAGAAAATCTTTATCAGTTTGGACTGATGAGACCAAAATAGCAGGGGTATAAATATTACCAGTAGGGGGCACACACACATTACAATTAGTATTCCTAAAAATAAATTAAAAAGATCACAAAGAAAAAGAAATGAGAACACACATAACCAATGCTGCTGTCTTCTCCACATAAATGAAATATCTTCCTAAAGCTCGGCTCTATTCTTTATTTTTATTGTGTTATGGGCATCATTCCATGTTGTAAAGTGTCTCAGGTTTGTTCTATAAATGTTCTTATCAGGGTTTTATTTGAAGGGATTAAATTACCAAAAAGGATTCTTTGCTTTATAATATTAATAGAAAGCTTTGACATTTGATTCAGCCAACAAAAATATTTTTTTAGCTGAAATATGTTTGGACAGCCTGTGTATGCATGAATAAGTGATTTGTTATTTTTTTGGTCTGTATGATTTTAATTGAACTTTTGTTCAGGTAGGATGACCCTGAAAAGGGCTTCAAACATAAACCTGTTACTGATGATAGAAAATATTTTTCTTCTGTTTTTTAAACCTTTCTTGAAATGAAAAGACTAATCTTTTTCATTTAGGGCAATGAAAAAAACCCACAGATCTTTGGTGTATTTGGTTGGATTAATTTGATCAAAGAGTTTCCTCCTCTGGACTCGGAGCTCTGTTCATCTCCCATATATAAGCCAAATTAACATAGAACGCAAACGATCAATGGTTCTAAACTAGTGGAAGTTTCTTTCATAACGTTCACATGGCCTCTGTGTTAACAGTGTTCCTACAGATTAATAACTGGGTTTGAAATTACCTCACTGGCCAGCTCTGAAGATTTCTTTGCCTGCTGAACATCCAGAGATTTGGAGGCCTCCCAGCCGACGCCCCTCATCCAGTTCAAGTCCGATCTGTACTGTTTCTAAACACAAATGCACAAACATCCAGGAAGGACAATATTGCAGCGTATATTCACAGTTTATACTCATTGTTGTTGTTGGAATAGACCTACATCACTCTGTAACCCGTAGGCCTTCTTAGCCCAGGCTACATTCATGTCTGTTGGCAGAGTGGTGTATTCATGGAGGAATGTCCTGTAGTTGGTGTCCGTGGCGAGATCTTGAGCTTTTTTGGCATGGCTGATGTTCAGCATATCTAGAGACACACTGTAGGAAAGACTGATTTTAGAAAATGTGAATGCAGTGTCCTGGAATTGCACTGATTGATTGAACTTTATGTCCTTTTTATTTTTTAGAAATTTTGCTTTGCTTTGTACCAGGGTAGAAACCCACAGCTGTCCGTCTAAGGTGATACATTTTTTGTGCATATCTTGACCTTTGGAAAGACACTGATTAAAGGTATTTTATCCATATAATATCTTTTTCATTTTTTAATAAAAAAGATATTATATGGATAAAATACCAATAGAAATTTAGCAAAAGTTAATTAATAAAACAAACTGATCTTTTGGCCGGGGATAGCTCCTATAGGTGTAATAACTCGGTGTTAAGTGCCATCACTTAAATAAAAATTTTCGATTGTTCGATTTTACAAAGGCCGCTGATCCACTTTGTTTATTTTAGAGAAGCTCAGATTCCTAAATAAACATTTTTGCATTGGTAGATCCCATTTTTCAGCTTTTTTTCATCAGTTTATAGTATTATACATTTGAATGAGTACGGTAGTTTAATCCGATTTAATTCAGCCCCGAATTATATTTTTTGGGAAAAATAACATTTATTTTCCTTATTTCCAACCCAACTCCTCCAAAGAGATTCTCCATCAATCCAGATTAAGAACAGATGAATATTTTTATCTATAGGATAAAACAAGAGCTCCAGAGTTCTGCTGTCAGCTTCCTGGACCAGTTTATTTATTTTTTAAGACAAACCATACATGAACACATTCACGCCAGACCAATTAAACAGTCATGGGACTGGGGTACCCTGAGAGAACCCCTGCATGATCTAGGAGAAAATGAAGCCTACTGTATATCAAGAAATCGCTTAGGCCAGGATTTAAAGCAAAGCCTTTTCTGATAAGAGAAATTATCACAGTCATTAATTATCAAGAAGTCAGCTGCAATTTTGTTTACAAGTATTCTTATTTATTCACACCTTCCATACGACTTCTCCACGGTTAATCTCAGAAGACAAGAATCAACCACTTCTTTGCTCCCAAAGATTAAGGCAACTTGATTATTGAGCACAAATATAAAAAAAGACCTGAGTGTGGTTAAACTGGAGGCCTTGCCTGTATTTAGTCTTGGTGTCCTCGTAGTTCTTCCTGTACTGGTGATCGCTCTGAAGTTTGGTGGCCAGAGCAGAGTGAGCCATCTGAGCGTCGTCGCTGACTGATTTAATCCCGATCACTTTGCCTTTGCTTCTCTCATACTCCTGCTTATATTTAATCTGAAACAGAGAAGGTGAAAGGAGACACATAATATTAAAAGTGTATTCTACCATCAAGCGTGGCTACAAAGCAATAGACGTATGAGATGTTGGAAAAAGGTTTATAAATATATGAAAAAAGCTCACATCACTGGCCAGGTCTGTCTTAGCCTTTGCTGTAAGTATAGACAGAGAATCCAAACGGAGCTCGAAGCCCTTTTCCCTCTGCTTCTCCCACTGGCTCTTGTATACTTTCTATAGAACAACAAATAAATCAAGAAATATTGCATCACATGCATTAGAAATCTTACATAGCATCTCGAATCTCGGCCACCATGAAAACAGGCCTCACAAAGATTTTCACTGTTTGTGATAAATTGGAACCAGGTTGGGTATTATTCATAATTTTCTTTACACTGGAAGTTGTAAAATTACATCTCTAATTAATTTTTTCAGCATTGATCTCATTCAAACATTTGCAGGTTAAAAAAAGATGCATTTTGACTTAATTCGGTACAAAGTGAAGATGGTTATCTATGATAACTATGCATCTAAACATCTGGGAAGAAGAGAGAAAATTCCCTTTATTAGCCTATATGTGGGTGCAAGAAAAATCTGTCAAGGAGGTGAAACAGGAATGAGGTAAGGGGTTGAAACCCATCTAAACCTTGGTAAAAATAGTACAACAGAATAATCAGAAAAGATGAAATCCAACTCACTCCACTGAGCATGTCAGCGTTTGCTTTCGCTTGCACAAATAGCGGCTCATCTTTATTGATGGTGTATTGGTGAATCATCTGCTCTGTGTTTGCTTTGTATGCCAGCTGGAAAAATCCGAGATGTAAACACACACAGAAGAGGCAGTATATATAATGGAACATACGAGTTAATAGTTGAAAGAGGAGATCCTTACATCGCTCTGCAGCTCCTGACTCTTCTTGGCGTGTTTGATGGAGAGATCATCAGCCACTTGGGTGAATCTTATTTTGTCGGCCTTCTGACGATATTTGACCTTTGAAAACAGAAAACAGAGTTTATAAGCACTGCCTTATAAATGGTAGAAGGATCTTTAACATCTTAAAATGTTGTAAGTAGACTTACATCGCTGAGCAAATCTCCAGCTTTCTTTGCCTGAGCTATGTTGAGGCATCCCTCCGTCTCCCAGCCCACACCTTTCATCCAGTTCAGGTCTGAACGATACTGGTTCTGCAGTAAGAAAATAAAAATTATTATTTATTTGTCTATTTAGCTTCATACTCTGCCGAGTGTCCTGAGGTTATTCTCTCACCTCACTCTGCTGGCAGTAGGCCTTTTTGGCTTGCTGGACCTTCATGTCATCGGATATGATGGTATAGTCGTGAAGTTGTGTGCGATAGTCCAGGTCACTGGCCAGAGCCTGAGCTTTCTTGGCGTGGCTCAGATTGATCATGTCCAGAGGAAGGCTGTACTGGGCCTGGCTCTCTTTGGAGGCTTTTTTGTATTCAATCTGATGAGGTAAGGACAGTGACAGTTTTCAATCTGATGCACGCTGCAAGCACAGCTTCAGTCAAAGCTTTACACGCCCTTATGACGAGTGTAAAGGTTTACTTTACTTTGACAACACCAAGCATACATGTTTATATCGCTTTCTAATCTGAATATGAAATTTTTCCTCAAAACTCTGACTGGATTATCTGTGTTTGCTGAAGCACATTTTAGTCACAATTAAAGATGTTTCTTTTTCCCTCTGCACGGGTTCATTCAGCCTAATTATTTCAGATACTTTTGATTGATTTGCTTTCATTTAACTGGGATGGCGATGGTTTTCTTCCAGTCTGTAGAACTATGTTATCAGATAAAATGACTTACCTTCAGTAATTTGAACTAATTATTTTGGAACGTGGAGTTATTCTGAAATACGTACATCATTCTACTGGTGTGATATTCCTTGATTTCTGCTCACTTTCCTTTTATTTTTGTTATTATTCTGCTCTAATTAATAAGAGATGAGTAAAATAGATATCAAATTCTTTTTTTGTACTGATGATATTTCAGAAGGGGCTTTAGTCAATAGTATAGTGGAGGATTTCCATTCATTTTTGAAAAGAACCGCCCTCTCCACTTAAAAAAAAATGCACAACCGTGTTCCTGTTCCCGAGAGGGAACGCCAATTAAACGCATGCGAGAGCATGCACAAGCCAATTTCTCCTTGAGCACGCTCTGTTTACAAGTTTCTGTCTGCATCGCTCATTCAAGCTTACTTTCCAAAAGTAGATTTTCAATTTTTCCGCTATGTCAGACTCACCACTGGAGTTTCTCTGTTGCTTTAGAGCCTTTTTTTGTCAGCTATATATCAATCTATCTCAATGTTTGGGTTCCTCAGGGATCCATGTAACTGTGCTGCCATTTCCTTTTTTTGAACATTGTTCCTTAAAGCCAAGTATGCAAATAACTGCACAGGTTTTTCTTTTCTTAGATATGTTTCCATTCCTTTACAGACAGTCCCTTTTACCTTTTTGATTTTTGCTCTTTTTTGCTTATTTTGTTAGTCTTGTGTGTATATGCAATAAATAATATTTACTGTCTATTGTATTTCTATTGTAGTTTTTCAAAACACATGCTGTTTTTAATTATATATTTTTTTAGACTGAGACCTCTGAGGTCATTTTACTTACATCACTGCTCATCTTGGCCACTTGAAGAGAATGCAAAGTCTTGGAGTCACTCATGTTGACCCCGACAGCTTTTTCCTTGTTTTTCATGTAGGATTCCTTGTATTTCAGCTGAAATAGAACATAATCGCACTTCATTTAAAATATAGACCATTAAACTTGGTAAATATACATTAGTTTTTGGGTTTTTTTTGTTATTGTTGCTTAGATGTCAGCAGTTTCCCTGCATCTCTTCTCAAACGAACAAGTTTTTGTCTACTTACGTCACTGGCTAGGTCTCTTGAAGCTTTGGCAGCTCTTACGCTCAGGTCATCCAAACCAGTTTCACAAGCTTTGGACTTGGTTTTCTCCCACTCTTCTTTATATTTAATCTAGAATCGAAAGAAACATTAATAAGAAAATAAGGAGGACTTTGCATAAAAGTCCACATGCCAACCAAAGCTTTATTACTGGCTTGTGTTGTAAAACCAAGAAAAGTGCAAACTTACATCACTGCACAAAGCTGCGTTGGCTTTAGCCTGTTGTATTTGGGGCAGATCCTGAGATAAAGTGTACTGATGCTTCGTCTTTTCATAGCCTGCTTTATAATTCAGCTGGTGGGAGCAAATTAATCATGTGTTCACATAACTTACAGGTAAATTCAGTGCTGATGCATGCAAAAATGATCAGTAACACAGCCTACTTGGTGTTTACTTACGTTGCTGACAAGCTGAGCATTTTTCTTGGCTAATACAATCTCGGGTGTGTCCGTCACAGACTTGTACTTGACCTGGTCAATATGTTGCCTGTAGTTCTTCTGCAATCGTTTTTAAGTAGTAACATATCAGAAGGATGAAGTCATTGCATGAGGACTATGTAGTATTATTATTATTATTATAGTAAATAGGTCCCAATAAATGTTACATTTAAAAGTTACATACATTTCTAAATGAAAATATATTTAATTTTCCCCTAATTTTGTTTATTAAATTCTAAAAATTAGCTAGAATAATTTTATCATTACTTTACTACAATAAATTAATATTTTTGTAAATCAAAGTTTGTAACTTTTCCATGACTATTTGGCTGCTAAACCAGACCCAAGGAGGAGAGCGATTTCCATCTAATCAGCAAAATTCTATTTTTTTTATTATTACTTATGTCTTTGTTTTCATTTGGTAACTCAAACATCTAAATAATCAATAAGCTGGACTAAAATATAATTTTAACAATTCATCTAGGCACTATTCACTGTTTGAACACCTTTATTTTAAGACTTTTGTATCTTAGATAATGGAATAAACAATTGTGGAAATATTTTTCCAGACTCATATTTTAATTTTCTCAGTTTTATCCAGACTTTGAAAATCAATAATTCAAATGAAAGGCATTTGCAGACTTTTCGAGACTGTATAGAGAGATTGTCATGAATTTGAGCTTGAAATGGCTTGGAGGTGCTTACATCTTTCAGTGGGTCCAGCTTCCTTTGGCTTTTGTAGCCTGGTGTAAGAGTGGCTGGGTAGTTATATTCCCCATGATCCTGATCTTGGCCTTGTTTATAAGAAATCTGGCACAAAAAAATGCAATTGAATCATGTTAACATAGGAAATAGAGAGTTTAATTAACTCTAAGCAAATACTTTCTTCATCTTTAAAACCTGACCACGTTTCTGTGCTTCAATCTTTTGTTTCTATACCAAACAAACATTTGCAAAATTGAACTTTGTTCCCACATTACCTCTCAGTCATTTGATAATACAGCATATAGCTATATTTAGCTAATATTTATCTACCTCTAGCTAAGACTTGCTGTCATTGATTAATTTGGTCCAAAAAAAAAGTTAAAAAGATTGACTGTATAAAAGCTACTGGTCAGATACTATGGAATGGATGCTGCCACTACAAATGCAAATAAAGATGAACCATTAAGAACAATATCTATTATTCCATGCGACATCATGCAGACACTTTGTCTGCACTGAGGAAGATGAATGCTGACTTATGCTAAAACAGGAAAGTAGTCTAGGCGACTTTTTTTTTTTTTTTATTCATTAAAAAAATGTATTCTACTACTTAGGACAATCAAACACTTTGTAGGGAGCAGTTAATTTTGCATCCTAAAATGGGAGGGCAATCATTAAAAAAGTAAAAACAAAATAAAAAGATAAATAGATAAAACAAAGAAAAACTATAGCTGTTACCAAGTCAAAAATTAAATTAGTCTGTTCTTTTGCTGTATCACACTGTACAGTTGTCATATATGTAACACAGGTGGATTCATATATGTTTCTTCATGCCACTAGGTTTTTATTTTTGTGTGATAGCAACTTTAAGGATCTCAGGTTTTTCTTTTTTTTTATAAGAAAGATTTTACATCATGAAGATCTATCATTTAATGCTAAGATAAAATTAAACCCTACACAGCAGAGGTATTTTCAAAGGGTCCACTAAGTGAAGACTTACATCACTGGCCAGCTTCCTCACTTTCATGGCGTGCAAAGTCTTCTTATCAAATCCAGAGTCTTCATAGTGGCCCTTTAGATCACTGGTATACTTTTCTTTATACTTGTTCTATTAAGATGAAACAAAATGTAATTATATAGGAATGAATAGAGCATCAATTTAGAATTAGGATTGTAATATTAATATGTAGTCTCAAAGAACAAGTAATCAAGTAAATAAAGGTGTTTGTTAACATGGCAGTATGCTGTTTCTTAATATTTGATTTTAGACTTACATCACTGGTGAACTGAGCAATTTTTGCAGCATTGCGAAACTGCGGAGTCTCACAAAAGTTAATACTGTGTCCTTTGGTGTTCTCCAAATCTTTCTTATACTCTACCTGCAAAAGCAAACATCTTGGTTAGAACATTTTTCTTTCTTTTTTATTATTTTTTTTTTCAGCTCAATGAGATGCAAAGTTAATTTTTTTATGTGGCATCCTAAATATATCTCTGACTTGTCTTTAATCTTGGAGGTACTAAAAACAACAATGATCGCATGACGTTCTATAAATGTCTCAGCCTGACTACATGTTTACTGGGGGTCAGGAAAGATGACTCTGGGTGAGCCAGAACATAATAGAGTTTGATGGGATAGTTGAAAGCTACAGCCTTGAAAGAAAAGCATGCCAGCTGTGATAGAGATGAGGGTTTGGAGGCACCAGCTTCATTGGAATCTGACACATTAGACCCGATACTTCACACATGCAAACACGCAATTACTAAGCAGGCTATTTTACCTGCTCACTTCATGCAGAATACAAAAATAAGTGAATGCTTTACAAATTTACCTCACTGACAAGCTTGTTAATTTGTTGTGCATTCTTTAAGCTCAGATTGTCCTGAGAGGTCAGACTATGGAAGTGTGATGTGCCCTTCATCTTGTTTAGATCCTTCTTGTATTTTAGCTGCAGAGAAAACAACAGATTTTGTTAGGTAGAAAGTTTGTCTGAGCAGGATTTAGACACACTCTAATGCTCATACAAGCGGTCCTATTCGTTTTAAGGGTTATGATGGGGTAAGTCCCTTGATTGTTTTCCCTAACCTGTTATGAAAGTAATGACAAGGCCTGATGACGTATGAGGCCGAAGCGTTCACACTGTGCTTTGGCAGTTTGGCTTAAGCTCACATGGCGACACTAATGATGTGTGCTTCCTTTTTTAGCAGCTCACACTAAGAATGTTCAGATATGACCTTGTGGCATCCAGACAAGCTATGCATCTTTTTCTTCAACATAAATGACTGTATGTCTGACTTTATTTTGCTCCTAAATGTCTCAGTCTTTTACAACATTGATGGGTTAAATGATTTTTAGGGTGATACTCACATTACTAGCATTTTCCTGAGCTTTCTTTGCAAGATGATAACCAGGAGTGATCATAGCAGGGAAACTGCCTTTGCCTCGTTGCTGCTCATATTCTTCAGTGTAGGCAATCTGCAAAAAAAAAAAAAATGTACTTGCAAAAGAAATTTTTCAAAGTTGGGATGGCAGACTGTTAACCAAAACAAAACAGTCTCTCCATTCAAAATGCATTTCCCCCCCTGGATCATTAAAGAAATGGAATTTTGGTTTCAGCACAGAGAATAATCCAAAGCGAATTAACTTGAACGCCATTGTGCCGCAGTAACAAGAGGACTGAGCAGCAAGACCATCAGGTCATCTGTGGATATGTTTTGCAAGAAAAGGTAATGGTCTACAGTGTTTTATAGTTTTGTGTAACTTCTGTCAGATCCACACATGTGCTGATGTCTATGAAAAATAACATTGAGTAAATCAAAAATTACTCCCTGAAGATATGTAATCTGCATGTTTGCACCAAATATTTAACTGCAACAGGATATATTTTACATTATTGTCACAAGCTAAAGAAATTTGTTTATCAGTGTTTTTATTTTTCTTTCAATCTTAATAACAGCAGTATTAGTTGATGTTTTAGGTCTGAGCCACACTAAATGTTAAAGAAAACCAGCTGGTGGAGAGTATTGAGTGATAGATAGAATAGGGTTCAAATAATGGCAGAAATGACCTTTTCTACCTGAATAATGCAAAAATTTAAGACAATCAGTAAGGATTTTTTTTTCCCAATCTTGTTTTTTTTTTTTTTTTTTGCCAATTACTGGTACATTTTGTTTGTCACATAGCATTAGGTAGGGTCTGCAAATCTACTGCTCAGAAATCCTGGGAAGACCTTTTATCTTCATTTTTGTCCTCCTAACTGAACATATTAACACATAAAGCTTTCCCTCAATAACTCACAATGACCCGGGGAACTTGCTAACATTACGTTGGTCTTGGAAGGCCATTGTGTTTTTCACTGAGCACAGATGAGTAACAGCATGTTTCATTAACAACTTTAAGCTGCACTGCACTCACCGTCATTCTTTAAACATGTTTTGTCTGACTAAAAGTCAGTTAATAATAATTTTTATTTGGACATGGAAAGGAGTTTCACTATTGTGAGCAAAAAAAGTTCAAATGCAATTTAAGGAAATGCTTTAAACTACATTCCTAGTGGTGCTAATTTTCTCCACTGAAGAGACACAGGACACTTTTGACAGGTCTGCAGTCCATCACAGGGTAAACTATGAACGCTCAAACTCATCTTAAGAGAATCCACTTGTGCACAGGTAGAATCTGCAACCTCTACCCAGGCTGGGGTTTGAAAAAAAATCATCTTTATCCTATAAGGCAACATTTGCTACAAACTGTGTCCCTATCTAACCAGCTTTTAAAATCAAAGTGCATTTCAGGATTTCTTAGTGCTTTAAATTTACTTGCATACAGGTTTAAATAAAGAAAACATGGTTTAAGATGGCTGATATTTGTGTGTCTAATGGACTTGAAGTATTTGAGTCAATAGTGTTCATACCTGGCTGAAGTTTTCTGCATTTTCTCTTGCATGAACCAACTCAGCTGCTGCTGCTTCTGCACTGGCTTTGCCTTTTATCTCTTGCTCGTACATCTGACGATATTTAATCTGGTGCAATGAGTTTGGGTAATAATAAAACATTCTGTTAAAGCATTTATATTCAGACAGAAAATAGTTTTTTATGTTATATTTTTTGCTTACATCACTGGCCTGCTCAGCCGCCTTCTTTGACATCTTGTATCCAGGAGTAAGATGCGCAGGGAAACTGCCTTTCCCCCTCTGCTGCTCATATTCCTCTGTATATGCATACTGTGGGGAAAAGCATTAGAGTTTTGTAATGTTTCTGGGATCTTGTTTCTGTAAAATGATCAAGAAAGCAAGAAATGCTTAATTTAAAGCTTACATCGCTAACAATCTGTGACTGTTTCTTTGCAAGAAGCACCTCTGGAGGATCCACAAACGTTGTATACTTTGAAACTCTTTCTTCATGCCCTTTTTTATATTCTACCTAAAAAAAGAAAAAGCATCAGATTATTTTACCTTGTTTGATCTTTGATATAGCTGCACTGGACCTACGGTAACAGCTGATTTAAACTTACATCACTGGCCAAAGTATTGGCATTCTTTACAGCTTTGTAACCAGGCGTGATCATTGCAGGGAAGCTGCCTTTTCCTTTTGCCTCTTCATATTCCTCTTTATATTTTACCTAAAGGAAAAACTCAAAATCATAAACTGGGACAATTACAAACACTATATGTCACTTTAATAATCTACGCTTGCATGTTTATTTTAAAGCAATTACTTGTAAAGTCTTACATCACTGATGGTTTTCTGTGCCTCTGACATCGTCACGATTTGCTGGTTGGTCACCATCCCTGAATACCAGCTCTGCTGCTGTGAGAACTCAGACTGAGCCTGAAAGGCCTGTTTGAAATATCAAAAATTATTAAACATTAAAACCTAAACAGGAAAAAAGGAAAACATGACAACAATGTATGCTTGCAGTTGCATGCTATGTGACCTTTTGCATTAAATAAATGAATCTAGTTGTTTAGTCTTACCTGGAAAACGAGACAATAATACGGTTTATTTTTGTCTTGCCTTTGGAATCAGTGATCCAAAATAAACTTAAAAAAAACAGTTTTATTCTCATTTAAGTGTTTTCATTTGAGGATCTTCTAACCTAATGCTTGAAATTTTTTTTCTGCCTTTGACCCAAACAATTACTCCAAGTATCATTTAACTATGGAAGTATTAGCAGTAATGTAAACAGGTGTAATAAACAGCATTACCCACAGATCTGTTGTGTCTTGGCTATTTGTGGGTGATCTGTTTCGTTCATAACATAACTATTATATTCTTTATCTAGATCATTAAGTGAAGTTTATGAAAATATTTCCAAGAACCAGACCTCTGTAACCTTTCCAACTACTTTGACCAAAATCAAGAGAAGCCATTTATATGTTTAGTTTCTGTTTATGCTCCTTTTTAAAGCATAATTCTCTTCTAAAGCATTGTTTTACAGAACAACTGTTTTGTTTCAGGCAAGCCTAGTGGACCCCTCACGGTCTGAATGCTAATGAATTACTTACGATTTAGCATAGGAACAAAAGCTGAGATGAACACATAAGGAGGGAAAAAACAACCTTGACCTTTTTTTTATATTGATTAGAGTTTAAGGCATTGAATATCTGTGAAAAATAATCCTCCAAAGTTTTGTTAAAGTGTCCTTTGACTTGGATGTGCTGGCCAGTTGCTCTCTGTGAGTTCACCTGGCTCAACGTCTGACTGGCTAGGCGTACCTTCTCCAACTCCATGGATCTCATGTCACAGTGGAAGCCGGACATAAAGCGTTCGCCATCTTCGCGATACTTCAGCTACAAGTGGCACATGAACCATAAGCGTTAGGCCAAAGCAAGCAGGCATTTTTAAAAACACACAAGACACAACACCCCTTTAATTTGCTTGAAGCTCCTTATAAACAGAAATATTAGCAATATATAAAAAAAGCTCGTTTTGGCAGGTTTTAACTGCATCATCCAGAATGTGTAAACAGTCCTAACATATTGTTGCAGTAGCATATCATCACATCTGTGCAAACCACAAAAAAATATTTAATTCGAAATACAAATAAAATATGAAATGTTTCTGATCTAAGTGGAACAAAACAGATTTTTTGGCCCTTTATGTGGAAACTGCCCGATTACACCATCCCCACCATGAACCATAGTAGTGGCAGCATAATGCTGGGGGAGGCTATTCATCCACAGGGAGTGTTTCAGATTTGATTTACAGATGATTGGGATGAAACACAGGGAAACACTGGAAGTTAACCTGTCAGAGAATTTGAAAAACTCAAGGTACATGCCTAAATGCATTTGAGAATCAGCGGCATAACTAAGGAATTATGTTATAATCTCATCAGGTAAGTTTGAACTAATATGCAAAGACTATGCAGCTATTTGAAGCTAAACACTGTATATAAAAGTAAACCAATTTTTGAAAAGTGTGTTGATAGAAATACAGCAGAAGTGTGATGTTAATAATAACTAACAGGTTCCAATAAAGATGAAACAGGACACACCATGAAAGTCCCAAAATAAAATGTGTATCCTGCTGTGTTATTAATTTTTCTGTACAACCGTTTGGTTCCACTGTGGTCTTTTTATAAGTGCTTAACAAATAAAACTGTTTTGGATTGGATATACTTTAGCAGTAAACATCCTAAACTAATATTAGAACTGCTGTTTTGCAAAGGATAAGAAGCTTTAATGCTTTTAACCATCACCTTGCCAAGGCTGACATTTAAATCTATTTCACTCCTTATAACATTTGTAAAATGATTTACATCTACCTTAAAAATGTCGTAAATAACTACTGAAATAGAAAAGTACAAACATCTAAAGGTAAAGTCCATCAGTGTGGCGTGACATCAGCCCTGAGGTATATTTATATGTGTGCTTAAATATCAACATGTGAAGTCCCGAATCTCTCTGCTTATAAGCTTGCTTGCCTGTCGCTAATATGAGCATAGGAGGGTTGCTTGAACCTTTAGACACAGACAGACTCAGACAGACAGAAACAGGTGGCCCTGCAGAGGAAAGGCAGGGATCAGAGGCTGTTTTTCTCTATGTGTATTTTTAGGCATCTGAAGCATAAAGTGGCCTAAGCCGCGGCAGGGTAGTCTGGCCTCAGTCAGAGATACAGAAATAAACTGAGGCACACTTCTCATTCCAAACCCCTGCTGTCACCAAGAACTTAGCGCTGCCCTCTACCTGTATCCTTTCCAGCCATTTTTGATTATACAATAATGGATGGAAGTGTTAAAAATCAGGCTGCCACCTAATTAAGGTTTTAGAGTTAAGATTATCTCAACTCAAAATAGTTTTGCAATGATTTATTATTACAATAAATTAGAATAATACTCTGAAACCTTTAGAAAAGTATGTCTATTTTGATTAAATTCACATGCAAATATAGTTCTTAAAATGGACTCTGTCATGACAGATAATGACAAATATTTTGCTTGCAGCATTGCAGTGCAGTTTAAGGTACCTGTCAATGGTAAATACTAAGACAGAAAGAGGTAGGAGCTTCTTGAAGTGAATTTGTGCTGCAAAATGATGTGATGGCATACCTCACTGCTCGCCTTGCTTTGCTTCTTTGCATTGATGTTGATGGGAGTTTCGTAAACACTTGTGAACGTGTTGTTTCTTGGATTGTGCCTGCAAAGCATGAAATAGAAAAATGTAAGGCTGCTGGGATGAAATGTGGATGTCATTCCCAGAGGGGAAAAACAAAAACACATGCAAGAAGAATTCTAGAATTACTTTGATTTTACTGACATATCAATACGTCTTCTTTTTCTTCAAAATGAGACTCATATTTCCTGCCATAGATACATTTTCTTGGTCTGTTTTTGATTGATATAGCACTTACACAGAGCAGTAAGGCCTCTTTTTGTGGCTGACAAAGTTATTCGGAGTGAGGACCATTTTGCAGACATCGCAATGAAAACACGCTTTGTGCCAGTTCTGAAAAAGAAAGAAAAGTGCATGCTGTCATCAGTTCTTTGGGAAAAAAAAAAAAAAAATTAGATGGAATTTTCAAAGAAGAAAAGTTCATATAGATAATTTGAAAAAAAAAAAAACAGCCTTAGTAGAAAGAGATAACATTGATTATCAGTTTCAATCTAAACATTATCATTTTTTTACAGGGCTCTGAGATATTCTATTTATCCTCAAACACATTCATAAAAAAAACATGCTACAAATTCCAGCACTTTGCTTTCACAATCATAAAAAACAGACTTCGGTACAAAAGGGAAACAACAAAACTTACACATTTTACACTTTCAAAGTGACTGTGTTCCCTATTTTTCCTTTGTCACTTCTGTAAAACTAAACCAACATAATTAACTCTTAAGGGGTTAACCACAGTCAAAGTTCAGTCATTCTGTCAGTCTAAAGTAGTTGCGAGAAAATTAAATAGATATATTTTTAGCCTGCTTATGCTGACTATTGCAAATTAATTCATTAGTCTGACTGTTGAGTATCAGTAGTACAAACTTAAACTTGTCCTACTAAGCAGCTAAAACTCTAATTTAACTTAACAGATAAAACAACATAAAATATTTATTTGCTTACTTTTAATATTGTTTTAACCAATTAATTTGTCCATCTTTCAATGCTGAGTAGATCTAGCACTAGAATAAACTCTCAGTACTTAGCGAGTAAAAAAGCAGATTTAGATAAATTTGATTAACCTCATTGTTTTAAGGGGGGGAAAAAATCTAAACTTACTCACAAAAAAAATATTGCCCAACATAATCTCAACAGGTTACAACTTTGAAGTTTTACTGACATCCTGTTCTTTGATATTTTAAAGTGGTGCTGAAGAACAATCGGGCTCCCTCTAGGCTCTTCTCTGACTCACAATGTCTGAGCCACTATTCCCTCAAAAGAAAACCAATTTTTAAGTTGTAAAACTAAGTCAGTTAGCTTTTATGTTTTGTATTTGGGCATAAACACAGTCCAATGTAAAGTAAATACTAAAAGACAATAAGATGCTTAATTCTTTCAGAAAATATGTTGGGAATATGTTAATGTATTTTAAAAATTGTGAAACTTTTAACAAGTAAAATATTGTTTCATAAAAGCTTTTTTTTAACATAGCTTCCAGTAAATAGCTCTTTAGCATCTGTGTTATTGTATGAAAAAGTATATATGGAATAAGGAATGTTTAAACAAATGCACAATACCTGGTCGATGCAGTTGATCTTTTCTGCTGGGTAGACCACAAACCCACACCTGGCACAGGACTGCATAATAAGCTTTTGATTTTCTCTTCCCCCGAAAAAAAGAAAAATATCCTTTGGTAAAACTGTATACAAACAGAAAATGTTGCAAAAAAGCAGGCGTGAGGCTGACAGACAGGAACCAGTATAGGCTATGGCCAGAAAGTAGCTCCCCTACTGTTAATATGTCTGTCTTTGCCAGTGTTAAACTTAGCTATGAGTGTGTAGCTCTGAGAGGGTCTCTTACTTAAAACCATGTAACATGGATGAACCACCCCCCCTCCATACCCCCCATGCTCCAGGACTGCCTGAGTACAGCTGTCTATTAGTGGACAGAGACTCAGAGCGTTCAAATGTCTCTGCGTTGGAGTAATGATCTCAAGTAGAACAGCAAGTTCAATTTTAGACATCCTCTCACGATCTCTGCATCAATTCAGTTTATTTTCAATTCATTTTATTCATGTGGCACCGATTCACTGCACATGTCATCTCAAGGCACTTTAGAGATGACGTGTTTAATCATCACATTAATGGTAAATTCACCACCAGTACTATTCCCAGGGCGAAATTACTTTCGTTACGTTACTCCATCAGTAATAGAGTGGCTATAGAACCAGTTTAATATAACACAATTTCATACAATATACTATATAATTAGGGGGTTGCCATCTCGCCATCAGTTTGGGGGCCCTTGGCCCTTGGTTGAAGACCCCTTATATATAATATAGATATAAATATTCATCTATATAAATACCCTTCTAAATACCTAGTGTAATAACACTGTATAATAATCCTACTATAGAAAAAAAATAAAAAAGGCTGTCATATGTGGTCGCAGTGTACGTACTATACTACTATATCCTATGCACCTTTTTCTACCTTTGGCAACTTCTTCTTCTCCTTTGACTATTAGAGCTGATGTAACGAGTAAATTTCTCCACTGTAATCAATCAATCAATCAATCAATCAATCAATCAATCAATCAATCAATCAATCAATCAATCAATCAATCAATCAATCAATCAATCAATGTATTATTTTTTGATGATTTGCTCAAAATAATAGTAAAAATATGCAAGAAAACTGATGCCTCTGCTGAGTAATGACTAAAATAAGATGCCCCATTGGGATTTCAAGAATTTAACATCGGACTCAGAGGAATGACTTTCTTGAAACAGAAAAAAAAGAATGTATCATTATGAAAAAAAAATGGGGGAAAAAATGTGTTTTTGGTAATATTCGGTAATATTCCTAATACCTCAGTCATTAAAAGACACAACATTTAGAGAGCTAAACGAGAGAAACTAATTAGAAAACTAAGTAATATGAAAATGAAACTTGACATTGTTGATTTACTGCAAAAAGAATCAGAACGTGGAAGATATCAGGTTATATATATATATATATATATATATATATATTTATTTATTTATTTATTATTTATTTATTTATTTATTTATTTATTTATTTATTTATTTATTTATTTATTTATTTATTTATTTATTTATTTATTTTTTTGTCATGTGGTGCACACTCCTTGCCAGCTGGTGGTAGTACTGCTCACCTAACTTTTTTGCCACCAATCGCCATCCAAAATGTTCAAGAGGAAGAAGAAGAGTAAACAAAAAAAAACAACAACCCTTATTTAAAAAGTGACGCACGGTGCCGACGTCATGACGCACGACTGAGCAAACTTTCACTTTCTTAACTTCACTTGAAGGAACAGAAAGTCCCTCAGAACCTTAAGGAGGAAAGTCGACCCAAAAGTTACGTGTTTATGTTTATTCAGAATAAGCTGTTACAGGACAGCCCAAGAATAACTGAGGGTAAGTTAGAGTAAGTAAGTTAAAATATTTGAAACAGTTCATATTTTACTAGCTTAACACTTCAAGAAGCTAATCATGTTAAACGTATGTTAAAAACCTTATTTGAACCCTTAATCTAATAATTTTATCATGTTAGCTATGTTAATATCTGTACATTTTTAGCAGTGCTGATTTATGCTGTAGTACTGTAACCAAGAGTCAGAACTGCCTTTATTTTACGACTTTTTTCCAGCTAGCTTGTTGTTTTATTTAGAAGTTCTAAGGGGACGAGTGGGTGTGATAAAATATATCTGCGTTAAACCCAGATGGAGGCTGAAATGAATGAGGTTGGTGTCGGTGTGGAGGAGAAGCTGGAGGCGGAAGTTGATCCCAACCCTGACGGTGGAGTTGGTGCTGAGGCAGCGGGTGATCAGATGGACGCCAAACCGGACCGCAGTGGGAGGTTTCTGCTGTTTGGACGGTGGGTGCTAATTGGCTGTTTCTCAAAATAGACATCAACAGAAAACAATACATAAATCGGAGAAACAGAGAATATGTTGAATAGAAGAATTGTTTGTAGTTTTCACTGTAGTTTGATCTCATTCAAACTTGTTTCTATCTCCAGCAGCCTGTAGAAGAAGTATTAGTTCGCCTGCAAATTTTATAGATATTTTGGATTTTGCTAAAATAAAAAAGTGAAAAATATCTGAAGCCTAAAACATACCAGGTTTCTTTCAGTATCTAAGTGCTATCCACATGTTCCAGATAAATCAGGTTTGACATGACTCACCTGTTTTGCTGCACCAAAACCAACTTCTCCTGAAAAACCTTCTAAACCTTTTCCCACTTTATGTTCAATTCAGTTTATTTATTTATTTTTTTTACTTTTTAAGGCACTAGTTGCTGTTTTTTTTTTTTTTTTATGGACAGTAGGCTGACAGGAAAGGGGGTATGAGAGAGGGGGCGAGACATGCAGGAAAGGACAACAGGCCGAATTCGAACCTGGGTCGCCCGCGTTGAGGACTAAAGGGCTGGTTAAACTCCCGTGGTAATGTGTCGCAGTGAGCTTGTCGCAGGTATGACGCAGACATTTTTGATTTACAGGTGCTGGTCATAAAATTAGAATATCATGAAAAAGTAGATTGATTTCAGTAATTCCATTTAAAAAGTGAAACTTGTATATTATATTCATACATTACATACAAACTCATATATTTCAGATGTTTATTTTGTTTAATTTTGATGATTACAAATGACAACAAATGAAAATCTCAAATTCATCATATCAGAAAATTAGAATATTACTGAAGACCAATAAAAACAAAGGATTTATAGAAATGTTGGCCAACTGAAAAGTATGAACATGAAAAGTATGAGCATGTACAGCACTCAGTATTTAGTTGGGCCTCCTTTGGCCTGTATTACTGCAGCAATGCGGCGTGGCATGGAGTCGATCAGTCTGTGGCACTGCTCAGGTGTTATGATAGCCCAGGTTGCTCTAATAGGGGCTTTTAGCTCTTCTGAATTGTTGGGTCTGGTGTATTGCATCTTCTTCTTCACAATACCCCATAGATTTTCTATGGGGTTAAGGTCAGGAGAGTTTGCTGGCCAATTAAGAACAGGGATACCATGGTCCTTCAACCAGGTACTGGTAGCTTTGGCACTGTGTGCAGGTGCCAAGTCCTGTTGGAAAATGAAATCTGCATCTCCAAAAAGTTGGTCAGCTGCAGGAAGCATGAAGTGCTCTAAAACTTCCTGGTATGTGGCTGCGTTGACCCTGGACCTCAGAAAACACAATGGACCAACACCAGCAGATGACATGGCACCCCAAACCATCACTGACTGTGGAAACTTTACACTGGACTTCAAGCAACGTGGATGAAGTGCCTCTCTTCTTTTCCTCCAGACTCTGGGACCTTGATTTCCAAAGGAAATGCAAAATTTACTTTCATCAGAGAACATGACTTTGGACCACTCACCAGCAGTCCAGTCCTGTTTCTCTTTAGCCCAGGCAAGACGCTTCTGACGCTGTCTGTGGTTCAAGAGTGGCTTGACACAAGGAATGCGACAGCAGAAACCCATGTCTTTCATACGTCTGTGTGTGGTGGTTCTTGAAGCACTCACTCCAGCTGCAGTCCACTCTTTGTGAATCTCCCCCACATTTTTGAATGGGTTTTGTTTCACAATCCTTTCCAGGGTGCGGTTATCTCTCTTGCTTGTACACTTTTTTCGACCACATCTTTTCCTTCCCTTCGCCTCTCTATTAATGTGCTTGGACACTGAGCTCTGTGAACAGCCAGCCTCTTTAGCGATGACCTTTTGTGTCTTGCCCTCCTTGTGCAAGGTGTCGATGGTCGTCTTTTGGACAACTGTCAAGTCAGCAGTCTTCCCCATGATTGTGTAGCCTATAGAACTAGACTGAAAGACCATTTAAAGGCTTTTGCAGGTGGTTTGAGTTAATTAGCTGATTAGAGTGTGGCACCAGGGGCCATCAATTTTGAACCTTTTCACAATATTCTAATTTTCTGATATGATGAATTTGAGATTTTCATTTGTTGTCATTTGTAATCATCAAAATTAAACGAAATAAACATCTGAAATATATGAGTTTGTATGTAATGTATGAATATAATATACAAGTTTCACTTTTTAAATGGAATTACTGAAATCAATCTACTTTTTCATGATATTCTAATTTTATGACCAGCACCTGTATACTCAATATTGAAGCGTGGTGCACTATGTTATTCCACGCCACAACGCAAGAGGGACAATCTCGAACTAGCTGTGGGTCTAGATACGGCCAAGGCGGTGAGAAAGTGGGGGCGAGTTTGTGCGACAACAGATGGACATGAGGGCGAAAAAGAGTGGGGATCCAGGTGGAAAAAGGGTTCCAGTGTTCTCGCGCACCTCGCTCTTCTAGCTGGTCCAACTTCACGAGTCATTTTCCGCAAACACAGTCATACAAACAACACAAGCTGGTAAGGTACCAAACAGAAGACTAGATTTGACCAATCATAGGCCTCCTGTCTGCAGTCACCATGCATGGATCGTGTGCACTAACCACTGCACCACCAAAGCACGCCCATAATTCAGTTTATTTATATAGCGCCAATTCAATACACGTCATCTCAAGGAACTTTACAGTTCACCAGATCATACAGTCAAGCTGATTCAGAGTTTTCTATCTAAAGAAAACCAGGTTATTGCATCGACTCGAATGCAATCCCTCACACTAAGCATGCTTGTAGCGACAGTGGAGAGGAAAACTCTCTTTTAACAGGAAGAAACCTCCAGCAGATTAAGGCTCAGTGTGAGCAGGTATCTGCTGAGGGCGACTAGGGTTCCAACTATTCAGGTAATTCTCCATTTTGGATCCTAAATTGGTAATAAAATGTAGATTTGAGTCTTTATTTCAATAGATTTCACTTTAACAGCTCCAGTATTTAGATATTAGCACGACTACTGCTACTTGATTTAATTGGCTGCCTAATTAAGTGGGTGGGTGTTGGAGGGACTGACTTGTTTTTACTTATAACAGAAAAGTGGACAAAGAGGAGGACAGAATAACACAAACAGGTAGAAACCATCCATCCCTCGGCTCATACAGGAATAAAAACACTTGTAAAATGTATATATCCACTAAAGGATACTTCAGTATTCTGAAATGTGGTTTTATTTTACCTTTAAGGTAACATTGAGAGACACAAATTAAGATGAGCTTTGATTGACTACATTAGCTTGTTACAATATGTATTAATACTTTATTTTCCATTCGTTTTACCCCATAACTTTACTTGATTATCCCATAAAAGTGCACTCAGCTGGTACTTTTGGATTAAATGTTAAAACAATTTAGATTTTTGTTAATAGACAAATACAGAATAAAATTCTGATGAGAAATGTAAATCAAACATATGTGTTGGTTTTAGTTTGGTGGAACGGATTAGAAGACTAGCCAATGAGACTTCATTTAACTTAGTGCATATAACCAAATTAAATCTGTCTGCAAATTGCAAATAGAAAGTTGAATTTCAGGTGTAAAGATAGGATTTTCCTTGAGAATATGACAATCCATACATAAATGCATTTTATCATTTATAATCTACTATAACTAAACTGACATTAGAAACTACATTATATTTTAGTAAATAACGTATGATGAAACCTGATGCAAAACATACCAATAAAAAGATTAGATATGGGGGGTTTTTTTTCTGCATTTTTCTGTTCCATTTTTGTGTTCAAGGTAACAAACTAAAATATGATTCAGGTTTATAGAGCTGCATTATATATTAAATCAGTTTCCAGTCTATCAGATTTATATTGTCATAGCAATGTTGACATTGCTGTAGACTGCATAGATAAAGACTATCTATAAGACTATAACCCAGACTATCTAGGCTGTTGGATTTCAAGTGCCTTCACACCCTTGTGACTCATGCCCGTAAACATCCACACCTGTCTGAATATTATGAAAATCTTATTTGTTGTTTTCAATGTGAAACTGCTGTTTTAAAAATTAGCTTGTGTAATCTGTACAGCATTAAACATTACACTGAATCCATCCTACCAAATGTAAAAAAAAAAAAAAAAAAAAACATTTTGTAAACTAGGCCTTTTTTCTACAGCATTTATTGTCGGGCTGCCCAGTTTAGGCTTCAAATATATTTTCAGATCGAAATGATTGAAACAAATCTGCCGCACTCTTCACTGGCATTCAAATGTGAATTGTTGTATGTAGGCCTTTAAAAAAGGCTTTTACTTAAGTTTATTTTTAAAAGTAAAAAATATATATTTTTTTTACCAATTTCCATCACTAGGTGGCACTCTGAATCTTTCTACAATAGAGAAACTAAAGACAATGTTGCCTATCCTTGGTTAGGATTTTGACACAGGAGATTATTGTTGCTTAAACATCTATTCTTCATTTTTATAATAAACAGATTCTTAGATTTAGATTTAAAAAAAAAAGCTAATATTTTTATATCTGAAACGCAAACACTTTATATTGAATTGAACATCTATTAAAGGGTGAAAGGATTTTTTCTTGCTTTTTACAACCATTTACAGTTTGTGTAAGTATTATTATCTTTATTTATATCTTTAACTAAGTATATAACGGAATTTCTTTTTTTTTTTTTTTATATAACAGACGCTGGCAGTGGTCATAAGATCACTAAATCCCTTAAATATTTCAATCTTATCTTACTGAAAAGCATTAAGCAGTGAAACAATGAAAACTTTTGAAATTTCTACTCTTAATTATAAATCAAGGTTTAGAGCGTTGAGTTTCAGACCTTTGCAGAGGTAGATAAGATCTGTGGAAAAAAATCACTTTTGCATCTAAGTATCGGCCGATGATCAAAAATTAAGGAAATCAAGCAAGATAAACGATGTCTCAAATCATGTCAAAAGTGGAAGAAATGTATTAAATATGGTTTAGGACGATACAGATAAAACTAATATCACAATACATATTTTTTCAATTCAGTTGAAATTATATAATTTAAAAAAAGAGAGAGAAAATAGCTGCCAAAAATGCTTGCAACTGAACCCTTTACGAACTTATGGCAATTATTTTGCCATGTTTATAAAACACTTCTAGTGGAAAATGAAGGAAATAGTTGCTTTAAAATAACAAAACACATACAATTTAATTATTACAGTCTATTATTACAGCAAAAGCTCTAATCATATACCGTTATGGATATTGAAATATCAAAAATGTCATATTACTATTATTGACAGTAGGATAATAGTTGATTGTTCGACAGTTTTTCTCTGATTACCGCTCTAAAAACATTGTTATTAATATCTTTAATGGTTTCACTGTAGACCATGTCCTGTACGACGGGATCTTTTATTTGTTCACATTGAAGGAACCTAATAGCCTGTCTGACCTCAGCAGGGAGTGAGGCTCTGAGGCCTGAGCATGAATAGGCCTTTAGAAAGCACTGGTTCCATGGGGAGTATGCTGACTCAGGGGGCTCACAGTGCACTGTCCCTCACCTCAGCAGCCTGTGGGCCCAGTCTGGACTCCAAACTGTACAGAGAGCATGTGCACTTCCTAGAACACACTAAGAAAGATTTCAGAATCCGGGTGTGCAGAAATTTTAAAAACAAGACCGAATCAAGGTATTTCCGATGCAGAGCGGAGTAGCGCTTAATGACGACCCAAGGTAAGAGATTTATCATGACTGTCCTTTTTCCACAGTGTAGCATGGGTGCAGCTCTTCACCCACCCTCATGCATTTGTCTTGTACAGCATGTTGGCTCTGTGGAGGTGGGAGGGGACTCCAAATGTTCTGGATCACATGTCTATTTGAAAAAAAAAAAAAAAGTACGCTCGCCTGTGGGTGTAAATGGACAGGAGCTAATGCTGTGTACAGTATTGTTCTGGTGCTGCAGTGACCCAATGGCTGGGCTCTTCTAGATCTTTTAGCTTTGCAATGGGCCACTGTTAGCTTAGGTATCTGGATGGATCTGTCAAAGAATGGAAATATTAGAGGACTGTGAAACTGACCTTCGCTGGATCGTTTCTTCCTGCTCAGTCTACGTCGGTGATCTTAGCAAAAATGTTCTAGTTTCTTCTTTAGCCGGACCGTGGATCGCTGCAACCAAATTTGGCCTCACCATTTATGCCTTATTTAATCACGTACGTATGTTTCAGGGTTTTTTTTCAATCAGTGGTTCAGGTTGTTTCTAGTTTCCCGCGTGCTACATGTTTCTTTGAAAAGTCTTTGCAAAGAAAGTTTTCAAGTTTGGAAATGTACGATGAGCCGGGGATATGTTCTAGTCAAGTCTCAATTAGCAAGATATTACATAATATGGTAAGAGCTGACACTGTGTAAATATGAAAGCCTATTTTTTGTTACCGATTTTTTACCTCACAGTGATGTGTTATTATAGAGTATATAAAACTTCATTTGTGTTTTCTGTCTTTTAGCAAGAAAAATAAGGATGGCCAGACGCGGGAGCAGGACTATTCTTCTGAAAGCCATTACAGAATTGTTTTACCAGCATTCCAGTATAAGATGAGCCACCAGCAAGTGGGGAAGTGCATCATCATCAACAACAAAAACTTTGATGCAAACACGGGTATGGCAAACCTGTTTTACACTACGTATTTAATAACGTTACACACTTATTTATTTACTCGACATTTATTGTTTGTTTGGATGTAGGTGTCTTTGCTTTAACGTTATATTTTGACAGGGATGAATGTACGCAATGGCACAGACCGCGATGCAGGCGAGCTGTTCAAATGCTTCAGGAACCTGGGCTTCGAAGTCGTTGTTTATAACGACCAGACGTGTGAGAAGATGGAGAATCTTCTCAAACAGGGTAAGTGGTGCCTTCCTCTAATTTTGTATTTTATGGTTTATTTAATCAAAGAAACATCTTAAAAGTCTTCTTTTTTTTTTTTTTTTATAAAATCCCTAACCAACATTGTGTTATAATGATGGCTCAGTGATGTGGAATATTATTTTCTTTATATCTATGCTTTATTATTAGTATAGCCTGTAAAGGACAATATTAACCTGTCTGAATATTAAACAACTTTGGTCTTTTTTCATTTGCTGGCTTAAATCACAAGAAACATCAATAGAAGTCAGTGCTGTTAAATAAAAAATTATTAAACATGTTTTTTACAACATGTTAAAAAACTTGAATAATTCAGACTGCGAAAAGGTGAAAGGGAAAGAGGCAACAAGGAAAATGTTTTGCAAACTTGTTTCACCTTTTTTGTTTTAAATGTTCATAAAACCCATTTTACAGCAACTACTGCTACTATGCATGTTGCATGACATTGCCTTTGTGTCAGCTGTTAATTGTCACTGCTGGAAGCTAGAAAACAAATGTAGCTTCATTGTTTTCTTTTGTCAAAGCCTTTAAAGATGCAACAGAATCCGCCTAAGCTGTTGTTTGCAGCTCAAAGCTACAAAAAATCTGTAATGGTTCCTGCTCTGTTGCCATCAAATAAAAACTTAGGACACATTTAGTAAGCTATTGTTTTTTTTTTTTATCGTTCTTCGACAGCAAAACACAAATATATGCCTTCACATAATAGATTTTAATATATTTGTTGTTAAAATCTCGTAGAAAATACATTTTTACCCAGTTTTACACAGTAACGACAGAAAGGGGATTAAATATAGGAATAGCAACAAGTATTCTCACAATGTGTTTTGTAGGGATTATTTCAGTATAGAAAGAAAAAATATTGTCTAAGTCTAAGATAAAATTACATCTCCATGGATTTGAGATCTTCTCACCACCAGGCTTCCTGAAATTCAAATCTATTATTCTTTCTCTTGAAACTGCATAATCAAACAGCATTGAACAGTAGGTTTCATTTCAATGATTACTCATATTTCAGATTATTTTAATTGATATGTAATCTAATAAAAATTCCATCACTATAGCTAAAACAGTTTGGTTTGAAATAATAGCCCCATCTACACTACAATCTGAAAACCGATCCATGCCGAGTTCGGACTGAGCTTGGATCACTTAATCTTGCCGAGCTTGATTCCTTAAGACCGTTTACAAATCACGCTAGCACGGTTCCTCGCCTCATAGTGATGATCTACGGTACTACTGCTCTCTAGAGGTAAACCAGCGTACCAACATGGCGGTGGCCGTAACATTCAGGAAGTTTGCAGAGAGTCAGGCGAAGAAGGCAGCCTTTGGTAAATTTAGTTGACAGAGTCGGCTTTTCTGAAGTGGATATGACAAACAATAACCTAATCAAGGCTTACAGACTCAAGAAACAATGACAGACGTTGAGGTTCATCACACTGCTAAGCAGAATCATCACTGGAAAACGTCTGGCAGGGTAGGGATGTCTGAAATTTCATGATTACGTAGGCTGACTGTAATGAGATGAAGCGGTCTGCTCCTGGGCTCTTTGTTATCAGAGAACCGAGCCAGAACTTTACAGCGTTGAGATCTACTGTTGAACTAGTACTGTGTTAGCGTGATTCGGTTGTGTCTGGCATGGTCTGGTTCAGTTTGCGTGCCATTTACACTAAACAGTTATCTCTGTCACCATGCTCGGACTGCTCTCGGCATGGTTTCAAAAGGGTAGTGTAAATGGGGCTAATAAGAGGATACGCCCTTTTTCTACTATGTAAAGCCTAAATATTCATTTTAGCTTTGTGTGTTTTGTGAGTAAGAGGATTTATTTATTTCATACAGCCTCAAAATTAGCTAATATTTATTTTTTTGTGTTTGTGGGTCAGCCTCGGAGGAAGACCACAGCCAAAGCTCGTGTTTCGCTTGCATCCTGCTGAGCCATGGCGAGGAGGGAATGATCTATGGGACAGACGGAGCCATGCCCATCAAGGCCATGACCTCGCTGTTCAGGGGGGACAAGTGCAAAAGCTTAGTGGGGAAGCCCAAACTTTTCTTCATCCAGGTATAATGCTTTAAAAAATACCTTTATGTTTAAATAGATGTATAAAAAATGTTGTTCTGTTGACTCCCTAGCTAATACGTAGAAATACACCCACTATCTCTTTCTAATGTTTATATTTTTCCCCTTTTCTCAGGCTTGTCGAGGTTCTGAATTTGATGATGGTATCCAGACAGATTCAGGTCCACCTAACGACGCCTTGGAGACAGATGCCAATCCAAGACATAAAATCCCAGTTGAGGCAGATTTCTTGTTTGCGTACTCCACTGTCCCAGGTAAGATGCACTTTTAGTGTTAAATAAAATAAAATAAACCCTTCTGTTCTACATACTATTAACCCTTGACATTCTTTAGGATATTACTCATGGAGGAACCCTGGCCGGGGCTCCTGGTTTGTTCAGGCCCTCTGTAGCGTCCTCAACGAGTTTGGCAAGCAGCTGGAGATAATGCAGATCCTAACACGGGTCAACTACATGGTGGCCACCAGCTTTGAGTCCTGGTCTGAAGACCCACGTTTCACTGAGAAGAAACAGATTCCCTGTGTGGTCTCTATGCTGACTAAAGAACTGTACTTCAACTGATATCCTGCCTGCACTGTATGACACGGACTGACCAGACTGACTAGACTGGCTGTTTAGGGCGATGAGCAAGCAGTCAAAGCATTCAGGGATGATTCAGGCCCAGCGGGACTCAGCACACATCAGCGTGCCGCATTTGGGCCTGAAAACAAGCACTCCATGACGTAATATCTAACAGTGACACTCTGAGTTCATGTGTTGATGGTTAAACTCCTCTTCAGGTTGCCCCTTTGAAATAACATTGTCACCTTTAAGCTGATCGTTGTTGACAGGCATTGTGGAATATATATGTATGATCTACTCACCGACAAACTCCGCTGCCAGTTTCTTGTGGGTTTGTGGAATCATATCTGAATATGTGTTTCTCCATTTTCCAGAACTTTCAAAATATGTTAGATCTTACAAACAAAAACATAGTTTGTCTAATTAGCACTTATTTCACATTGGTTGTTTCTGGCACATGTCAGGACAGGTCTACTAAATAAGACATTACTTAATAAGACATTACCTTGTTCTAGATTCTGAAATATTTCTACCAAAACAAATTGGATATCTTTTTTTACCCCCTTACCCTACCTGTTTATTTTGTAGACCTTATAGTGTTATTTACAGGATTGGAAGTTTTTTTTATTCAGGCCATCTCTGGTGATTTCTTTGAGCAATATTTGAGCGAAATATTGACGTTAAATTTGTGCAACAAAATGATTGTGCAGTAGTTTAAAAAATATATATAAAAATATATATTTATGCACGTTAACAGTAGATTATGTTTTTATTTAGGTGTTTTCCATAGGACATGATTTAACTCTTATGACAAAATATATTTAAAAGTTAGATGGTTTATGAATAGTATATATATATTTTATTTTTATTTTTTTTTATTGTCGAATGGTGAAAAAGGTTTTGCATTCTTGGGAAAAAAAAATGTTTTGAAAGTTTTGAGCATAGGAATTGCTTTGTTTTCGTTCTTTTTTTAATAAAAATGGTCAATGGTCCCCCTTTTTGGCTAACTATAGCATTTGTGCTCTCTGCATTGACAAGACTTGTCGATCATTTGGCATACAGCTCAATCCTTTTCCAGTCAATTGTCTCCAAGCAAAACCTGCATAAGAAGGTATTTGTCAATTTAAGACTTTTGCTTTAAACATCCTGTAATTAACTGACTAGTTGGTTTCTATGCAGGTAATAATGTATAGGGAATTTCCACAGTCAGTACACTATACTGAAGGGGGAAAAATATAATGTTAGGGAAAACTATAAAAGAATAAGTCTCAGATAGACACTCATGTGAAACCAAATACGTTCTCTAATCTGGAAAATGGAGTGCATCATTTTTAGATATCCATGTTTTTACAGTTTCCGTTCCCAGATGTAGTTGTTAAATAAAAATAAAAAAAATGCAAACACTCCTTCCACAGCAGTGTCACAACGCTCTTCCGTAAGCCTCAGCATCAGAGCCTTACTTGTAACTATAAGCATGCTGGCATCCTCAGGTTCTTTCATGTACCATCAAATTTCCTGTTTATTTTTTTAACTATACATGGTGGCTAAAAAGGTGTGATCTTTTTGCTGTGTAGTGATTTGTTCTTAGCAACTTAGGGATGAGCATGAGGTACAAACAGTTGGGCTGGAATTTCTGCCTCCTGGTTAGCTGGTTTGTTCAGACCTGAATTAGTAAGATTTGTGTTCTCAATACTCCAAACTGCACTTATTTTATTTTCACACAGGTCCAAGAAAATAATTAGATTTTTTCTCCTTTTTTTAAATTAGTTTTATCTTACACCGTTAAATGTTTGCTTTACGACCAAGCTAGAAATTTAAGACAATCGAAACTATAGGAAATATTGAAGATGAATTTTCACTGTCTATTATTGTTGTGCTACACCGTCTTCATTAGTGTGTAGTCATTAATTAGATATCGCTTTTTTCTGCTGTTTTTATTTATCAGACTTTGTTTTTATCCTACAAAAAGATTAAGGAAATTAGAGGCACTTAGTGTACTTTGATTTAAAATACGCATCTTGTGATTACATAAATTGGTTGATATTGGTTATATAATAAAATCTAGAAATATCAATGCGAAAACACGACATTTGCTTGTTTTATTGATAACCTGCCGATAACCTGTTATTGTTTTAAAGTCACAGAGGCAGCTATTTTGGTCATATTTAACATGAATTTACACAATCCACATTTCCATAGTGTGCACTCTTGACTGTTTTTGCTTTATTACTATTCACAGAATTCCATGTATTGGTATAATGGCAGTAGAGGGACATCATGTATATTTTTTTTTATTATTCTGCTCCTCAGTAACTTGTATTTCTTTTTATAACCTTAACATGATTAGTGCCAAGAGGAATACTTGCTCCACTTGTTTTGGAATGAAAATAAAGCAGGGATTTTTTTTTTAAAGCCCTTAGTGAGAAATTTTTTTAAATGCTTCCCAGTTTTTTAAATGCTGTGAATGAATTTAAAAAGATTCAAATTTACCGTTAATGCTTAATTTGGTCCAGTTTTAAATTTCTGGGCAGTTCACTGTTTAAAAAAAAAAAGGAGGACTGCTTTTGTAATCAATTTACTGTATTAAATATTAATTTATTATGTAATGAAATTTGTGCCTTTTGTTTAAGACCACATTAAAGGGCAGTATTTATGTCCAGAGTTCTCTTCTGTTTTTGTTTTACTCTATTCAGAACACTCCACAGAGTTTCTATAGATATCCTTGGAGGTCCATTTTTATTTAATGTATGGGGTTAATTCAAAGAAACCATGTATTCTAACCAGGCTGCAGTACCTTAGGAAGATGATCAGGAACTCAGCGTCACAAAAACCTTCATCTGAAAAGTTTTGTTTTTGTCCAAATGCACCTTTAGTTAAAATGTCCTTGCTAGCTTCACATAGAAACGGATCATACAGAATTACACTACCTGTTGTCTTTTCAAACACTAACTTAAGTTTAAATATGAATAACAAAGATGTTTCAGTGACATTTATTCTGAAGGAATTGTAGGTCTTAGCTTGTTTTTGGTGAAGTGAAGCGTCAGTGATTCTTAGTGACATCAACACCTTTATAAATGCTGAAAAACTTCATGTAAGCCAGTTTAGACTGGCCTAAGGAGATGCAAGAGTTCAGGTTTTGTCACAAGTTAAGAATGAAAGATCCTGCAGATAAAAACCTCTCCCAGCAGAACTAAATGACTTACTAGCTCTTTTTCATTTCCACCTCAGAGAACTGGACACTTGCTGTTCATTTATTTATGTCATGCAATGGGACACCATTTTAAGGAGAAACCGGATGTAAAGTTTGGAAAATAATCTTAAAAAATACCCTCAGATTAATCCTAAAGTGCATAAAGATTGCAGACTGTATCTAGGTCATGACAAAAGAGAATGGATCCCTTTTAAAGATGAGGAGAATGTGCATTACATTCCAATAAGCAGAAAGTTCCTATGAGCAGCAAATAAACAGAAACCAAATACTAGGTACTCTCCAATTCATATTTCCTCCACCAGACAAAGAAAAGGAAATACCCTTGGCATTTCTGGTATCCTCTGACTCAGGTCTGGTAAATTCTAATGCATGGGTGGATTTGGATCTGAAGAATCATTGAATACTATCAAACATCAGTTATACATATCTTCACGTGACATTTATTCTGAAGGAATCAGTTATACACGATCAGTTATACATATCTTTTCTCATTAGAATAACTTTGCATCTACATTTGTTGGATCGATTCCATAATTAAATGGTTGGGAAAGGGAAGTTGCTGATAGAGAGCAGGGTTTTTGCATCCTTGAGACACTACAAATGTCACTGCTTTGAAACCTCACCTAACACTTTAAATCTCTGAGCATGACCCTTAACCCCAGATTGGATGCCACTAGTAGTGTAGCAGTGCTCTACTTCCTAAGGGAATTACTTTAAAGCAGGAGACATATATCAAATAATACATTTCTTTAAAGTTTTGTGGGGGTTTTTCTCTTCTCTATTTTTGATTCTCTGGTTTAAAGCGTGACCCTTTTTAATTTAGTTAAAGATAAAAATACTTAAGGGTATTTCTCAACCAGATTTACAGATCACAAATCTGAAAATCTTGCTTTTTTATTCTCAGCCCAACAGCTGAATATCAGATTGAATAAAAAACAACCTTCCCTTCCCACCTTCCATTAAAAACCCAAATTAGTGTTTTTCAAATAACGACTGTCTTCACTCCAATCTTTTTTAAAGACCATATTTCATGCATGACAAAAATAATCTGATTTACACTCAGATTAAAAAAGGACCTTCTTCAATATGTTTGTAGTATCTTTCACTGCCTTGTTGTAAACTGTGAACAGGACTTTTTATGGTTGTCTTAAATACAGGTTTTCCTCTCAATATCCCTCTTAAAAGGCCACATGTGTGGAGTGCATAACTAATAAATACCTCACTAACAAATCGTCCCACCTCCTGAAATTTTTTTTTTTTATTAATTTCTATTTTTTCGATTAGCATTATTTTTTCTCCTTTTCATGATTTGCTCTGAGGAAAGAGCAACAGGATGATAAAGTATACAGGGTAGCACCTACTGTTGATGTTTGCTGCTCCTCTACAGATAGAATGGCATTATTGACCTAATTTGCTAGTACTTTACTAAAGTTCTAATAAAAAATCTCTGAGGTTTTCAGTTAATTTAATACGAACACAACAGAGTAAAATAACTGGATGCCAACGCAAACAAAAGGTTCCAGTTTTTTATATGGAAAACAGTTGTAAATCCATGCAAAAAATATTTTTCCCAATGTTTGGTCCATAGAATTATACATAGGAAACGTTAAAATTGTCAAGGCTTCTGTTCTTGTGGCACTACTATATGTTAGACAGTAGGAGACTGCAGTCTCATGTAAACAGATGGAATTTGCTCAGATAATGAAGATTAATAGCGCTGCAGATCGTTTCCTCCTTGTATGCTCCAATGATTAATTTACCCGTTGTTTAATTTTCGAGAACAAGTTGTTCAATAGCCCTTTCAAAAGTGGAACACAATCATAGAAGAAAAAACAAAAATCCCCAAACTGCAACAAGGTGCTTTTATGCCTTTTTTTTTATTTTGGAATTCATAACTTAATTAACCTTCAAGTTGACTTGCTGCAGAAGCACAAAGATGCATGTTCCAAATCTAATGATAGATGAGAAAGCATGACCCAACAAAATGCAATCTCCCCTGGTGAGGCATGTTTTAGGACATAATGTTCAGAGTGGTAACTTGACAAAGACGAATGACTGCTGAGCAAAATCTCTGTCTCATCAATATGCTGCACAGAATACCTGATTAAAGTCAACCTTTGCACCGTGTGCATGAATCTGCAAACAAACAGCAACGAATGACAGAAACCAGGCACCAATGTGAGACGGCACACTTTTGAGCTGAATTGTTCTCTTTTTGACAGCTGGAACTCATCTGTCAAACAGCACTACTGGTTTGCTGGTATTCCTGCCTGCTTAGCTGCAGGTCTCTCTAATTAGTTTTTCTTTGCAGACACTTTTGACTTTACATTCTAATGAGCATGAATCATGGGGAGACTGAGACATTCAGACAAAGGAAAGTTCAGCAACTTCCTTTTTTTTATGTCTTTTTCAAGACATTGCAGTCGTGTTTGCATAGTGATGCTGATGTATTTCTTTGATGTGATGCATATCTAAGTATCATGTTCATGGGAGTGAAAAAAGAAGACATGTTTATTAAGAACAGGGCAGGCATAAATACCACAGGCATTTGGTTCCAGTGTGTTTGCGAATGCACACCAAGACTAAATACTAAGCTGCAGCTACAGATATGTGAAACCCTGAATAATATTCACACACAGCACTGACTGGATACCTAAGGGCTACCTGCTTCTCTTGAAGCCACATGTTTACTTTGGTTGTCTTTTCTCTGTTGTTTTGTTCTGTTTTCTTCTTCTCTCGTCTCATGCAGGTGCAGAAGCAGACTTCTAAAATATATCTTATATCTTCTGCGTTGTTGGTTTTTTTTGGTGGTTTGGTTTGTCATTTCTCTTTTCTCTCCTCACTATTCTTCATCTCTTTCTCTCTCTCCTTAGTTCTTATCCCCTCTCCCCTTTCTCACCCCCCTTTCGTCTCTTTGTCCTTTTTAAATGATTTTATTCTCTAATAAATTTTCAATAAGGTTTCCTGTATAATTACTAAGCAGAACCTTATGACAACCAGCATAAAGCCCAACTTGTGAAAGCAAATCCAGTGGGCTGTCATCTTGCTCTGGAACATCAATTCGCAGACCTATGTTGGAAAAACACACAATAAAGAGGACAGGGCAAAAATATTAAACTTAAGTGAGAAAAAAAAGACTGAATCTTGTGGCACCCCAATTAAAAAAAGAACCAAATTGGGACATAAAATCATCTATATCAAAAACTTCCTTGAATGTTTTTTTTTTTTTTTTACAGATTGTATAAGGAAAAAAGTTTTCAAATTATGAACCATGTTCAACACATTTAAAGGCAATTATGGAAAAAAACAATTCCAAGTCAGTAGTGATAAAAATAATTATTATGTGTTATTATATATAATTTGCACAGAAGATGACATTTCAATCAGGACCTTTACAAACCAGCAGATTTTTTTTTAACATTTATGCTTATTTATTGGTTTTGTACAATTAATAAAGAAAGCTTCATTTATATAATTATAGTACGTGCATATGTGAAAAGCTGTGCAGTCTTACAGATGCTGTTTTGTGCAGCACCGGCCCAGGCACAGACAGAGTGACGTCAAATGGGCCAAATTAAGCCCTCTCCCTGAATGACGTCTATTTAAATTAATATTAATGTCCCAACACATACGCACAGAGCCCCTTAAATCTGCCAGTAAATTAGACTGACCCCTTTCTCCACACTGCCTCTGCTGCGCTGCATCTTTAAAATCTGACAGCATGGAGATAGTGTCAAAGGGCAGCAGGGTAACATAGGCTGTAATTACAATGTCTTTTTGCTGACATGGCCCATTTTTTGCAATGAAGTTTCTTGATTAGGGGCTGAAAATTTCTTTCCTCAGATTTCGATCCTAAATTTATTTTATTTTATAATCTGCAGTTATGTTGAGTACTAGATGCATCTTAATTAGTGTTATTTAGAGCTGAGTCTTTTTTTTTACTTTTTTACCTTTTTTAAGTTAATGAGCAAATATTTTCTGCGTAATTAGGTTTAAACATGAACAAAAACCACAAAGCTGTATGTTAAATGGAAAGTAGAAAGGAAAGGGTATGTATATATGTTTTCAACAAGTTCCTAAATGGCACATGACCGACATTCAGCAAATAAATCTGGTTGAGATGTGGTTAAAACGATGTCGGATGTAGTTTTAAAGTTGAATAAATCTAAAAAAAATGAAATTTATAATTGTAAAAAGGTTAACAAAATCCTCATAAATCAATGTTAAATCAACATGCAACATGCATTTTATTTATAACTTCTCCAGTTACATTTTTGTAATATCTAAAGTTTGTAAATGTGTTTTCTAAAGCCACTACAGGATATACAATATGAAGTTCCTTAAAATTGGAATAGTTATTGTATAATTTCTTATTTTCTCTGAAAAGTGAAACAATATTACAGTATCAACATTGATATATTTCAAAATATGTCTGGTGGGTTCATTTCAACAAAAATCTGAAAAGTGTGCACTATCATTTTAACCTGGAGAGATTCACTCAGAGCTGCAGTTATAAAGGTTTTATTGACATAAATGAGATAAGATCTTTGGCACTCAGGCCCTGGCTGGAGACTTTGATGCTGAGAATTGACATCTGCTTGGGTGAGAAACCTCGTAAAATGATTAGCGTAGAGTTCCCCCAGGGGCCGAACACTGGTGCCGGAATAAATCAGAGAGTGAGCGGGACTGAGAATAGTCTGAGACTAAGGTAGGAGATCGGGTGGAGGTGGGTCAAAGTTCATTGGCGTGCAGGAGAGAGTGTCCCCTGTTGATTAGCTGGAGCTGAACAAGGATGTTGGAGGAGGTCCAGGTGAAGTTTGATAAGAGCCTTCCAGATTGAATTTTCGCTTTAGCTTCATTTGTTGCAAAAACATCTGTAGGTAGATAGAGACCCTTAGAAGATTTTAAGAAAAATAATTTCTTTGCACTGGCTGTATGTATGATGTAGTTTTACCTTTGGAAGGCAAATCCTAGTCTCATTTAATATCAGACTCAAAAAATCGGAAAAAACTTTTTGCAAAGTAGAATTTTATACAAATACTAGGAACTAGCATTGACACTGAGGTGCTACAGAGAGACAAACCTCAGCTTTCTAACCACCATTCCCGTCCCTGCTATATGAAAAGCAACCTCAGACATAATGTTTCCATCTTCACATATTACTGTGGGTTAGTCTGTTTAGGTTGACATTTTGCATTTTACCTCATAATGATAAAAGTATTTATACGAGCGTTTCATGAGCAAGTTCCTGCTCTGACATCACTAAGCTATTAACTCGTTAACTGGTTTTGAAATTAAAGGTAAGTTACTTTGAGTGACAGCAGATGCATCTAAAATAGATTATCTACTGATAATCTATTATCTATACGTATGTGTGTAAAATGTACCATATTTTGCATGTATGCTAAAAACTTTTTCATCTCTTAATCCCAGCTATCCAGTGAAGCAGTGGGAATAAAAGATAAAAGACAATGCATGCTTGTGTGAGAGAATCCTTGCTTTTAATGATGCACTCCACGAACAACTGAACTGTGAAATTAAGGGGTAATTTTCCACAGGAAACCTGTGCCTAAATAAAAGCTTCTTAGTTTTGAAAAAAAACTAAACAAAAAACCAGACTGCCTCTGAAACAGGCCTGCAGCATAAAACCTGAAAGTCCAGTTCTCCAGATGATCGAGTCACTGGTTGTCAGGTACAAAGAGCCGGCAGCCCCATCATCAGCTCATTCCATTCTGAGTAGCATCTCTGTGCAGGTAAGGACAGTGTGCTTTGTTTCCTATTATTTCCTTGTGTCTTATACTTGGCTTGTACTACATCTGAAGGTGCCTCTGATCTTAACAATATTTATTTTACTTATCTTACATCATTTTCATGTTTTTGTTACATGATATAAAAAAAATCTAAACACTCTTTATCTTGATTGGCTCCATACTTATGACTTTGGTTGTGATCCTTGCTTCTGTTGGTTTCCTCCAAGGAAGTTAATATGAATTTATACTTTATACGTTCACTAATGAAGTTTTGCAATGACACTGAAAGCTGTGCTGTTTTTATTTAGGTGGGGATAATCAAAATGGCTAAAAGAGAACGGAATTCAGGTAATATTGTGTTTCCTTGATCTGTATTGGTATTGGTTTAAGTATTTAAAGTGTTGGTTGCCCTTCTTTACCTCTTTTTTACCCCCATAAATACATTGACAACTTTGGTTTGAATGTTGTCATTTGCCTTTTAGGTGTTCTCACTTTGCATTTTTTTTTGCTAGTTGTAATAATGCTTAATTTTCGTACAATAATAATAATTATTATGAATTTCTTGAACTCTTTTTGACCCTCTAAAATGAATTTCTTTTCAGTTAAATAGATTTTCTTAAATAATAATAATAATAATGAAAAATTAGTACTCCACCTCTAAACAGTAGTTTTATCTTGCAGTGAGTGCAGTGTTTTACAAGCCAATTACAGACGCAACAGAAATCAGGTCTGGGTACCTGTTTAAGTCTCCTCCCCCCAATTCACTTAAGTCAGAGGTGACTGACCTTTTCTCATTTTTACTGGATTTTTGTGCAGGTTGTGCTTGCCTTTTTTATTGAATATCAAATTTTTTATTTCTCCACTGCAGTGGAAGAGACGCTACTTTATTCTTTTTAAAACCAATGAGCATGACTACCAGTTTAAGTACTTCAGGAGTGCAGAAGACAAGGGGACCCCACGTGGAGCCATAGATCTGACGCAGTACGTTCAGCATCAGACGGCTGCTTTTGCATGTATCTGAGGCTTATTTGGTGCCTTTAAAAATGTTTTGGGAGGTTAGAATAAAACTCTGTTGCTCTGCCAGGATCTCCTTGTTATATGAGAGCCCTCAGCATCACCAGAAATGGCCATGGGTCCAGAAGACATTTAAATGCTCCCCCTCATGTGTGCTCTACATCAGGGCAGGAAATCGGGACTACTTCCTTATTGGGGACACCAGGTTAGTAAGCATTTATTTTCAAATTTCCATAAGATATACTTTTGATGCATTCATCCTAATATAGTACATATTAACCTCAATTTATATTTATTCAACAACCTTTTCTGCATATGCATGAAAAAGCACAAGTATAGGTGAATGATGTTTTCTATTTCCTTGTTTTACCTGAATTTGAATTCTATGGAGGCACAGCAAAGATTGTGGTTTGATCACTTTTTGGTGAAAGCCCTTAGCTTTATTTTTGTTTTGTTTTCCATGAAACGCTTCCTCATGCGTGAATCACCAATTACTTTCCTAGATCGACCCCATCAAAACTAAATGATGGTGCTCTCTTGCCCTTTACATCATCCAATAATGGCTTTCCCACTAAATAAATCTCTGCTAAGTTTTATCTTTTCATTATGGACTTGATTTCTGGTATTGAATTTAAAATAAAAATGTCCGAAATGTAATTTGTCGAGTCTCACAACTGCTTTTTTCCCCTTTCAGCACGGAGGTTGAACGTTGGTTTAAAGCCCTGTATGATGCCCTAAACAATCGGCCTCATAGACTTCTCAGTTCAGAGGTGCATTAAGCTTTTAGTGCTTTTCCATTTTTCCATATAAGGCTTTTTTAATTCTCTTATTTTGACCAATTTTGGTTACAAACAAGATCACTGCCATTTACCCTACTTGTTTCTTTATCTCACTCCTTTAGGAAATCAGCAATGGGCAGCCAACTGTTGACGTAAGCATGTGGAGTTGATTATATGTTTTTCTGATAAATATTTAAACACAGCTTTGAGATTCTTAAAATACATGTTATGGTAACAGTTAAAATATGAGCAATTTGGTGACTAATTACTGAAGATACTGGAAAGAATTAAATATATTTATACTGATTGGATTTTATATGATAAACAAACATAAAGTAATGCATAATTGCATAAAGTAAAATAAAATTAATTTATGGTTTTCCTTTTTCAGCTTTATAAGTTAAAAATGAGAAAAAATGTTGTTTATGTGTATTTAAGCTTTCTGAGTCGAACCCCTCTCAGCAGCAATTAGTGCTGCAAATGTTATAGAGTGTAGTTCTGGCAGCTTCATGCATCTCCTTCCACAAATTGACTGTGTCCCCTTAGGAGTTTTTCACCGCCGTCTCTCTCTCATCTTCAGTTTTAGTCTCACTAGTTTGTAATAGTTTTCCACTCAATAGATGGTTGTCTGTGAGCAGTCAGCCTCTGCACCTCCTCCAGAGTCACCAGGGGCTTTTTATGCTTTAAGTTCTCATTTTCCCCAACTGTCAGTGTAAGCAGACAGGCAATGAGGTTTATATTTATATGCCATGTTCCTTAGTTTTTGTAAGGCTGTTTTTTATTCATGTTCTATAATAGATTTCCATAGACAAGTTGTTCTATACTAAGATAGACTAAGACAGTTAGATTGTATTTTTGTTCTATAAAAATACAATCTAACTAAATACAGTTTTGTAGTTGTGGAATAATGTGCACATATTTAAAGGGTAAAAATACTTTAGCGGAGCACTGAAAGTCATGTATTTATTCCTTTGGCATAAGAGATTTGCAGTTTTGTCCCAAAACTGTGGTGCTATTGTATTTCCTCAGTCAGTTTGTTCCCTGCTGCTTTTTCTCATTTTAGCACCTTCTTTTGACTATTGAGCCAATATGACAAATGAATTTCTTCACTCTGAGATCAATAAAGTCTATCTTATCTTATCTTTTAAAATCTTAAATCCCCAAACACTTTTGCAATAACAAACTGTCTGACTTTCACTTGAATTTTTAAAAAAAATTACCTTTCCTTTCCTAATCTGTTAGATAATTACAAACCCTCTTCTTCACCAGAGAAAGAAATCCAACACTGATGTTGACAGGGTAAGTCAGCAGTTAATAAAACTCTGTTTTCCGCAGCCTGTGTAAGACTACCAATTAATCAGAAAAGCAAACTTCATGTTATGTGATCTCTGATGAGCATTTTTACTTAGAGCTTGTTAGCCAGGAGCTCAGCCAACATTTGCAGCCAGATCAGCTGCAAAGCCTCTTAGCATTGGAGGTTTTTATGGTACTCTTGGAAATTTGTCACAGCATAAATGTGTTTAAAATGAATGAACTTTGGACATTAAGAGCAGCAACAAGATTAAATATCATCTTACCTTGGCTTTTAGGAATTTGAACTTTTTTTGTAAAACAAGAGTTCATTGCAAATAGGGGGACTTTATTGTGAATTTATTGTAATCAACACAAGGTCTACAAACGTTTAGTTAAATACCCCACAGTAAACTGGTTTCATGGTTACCTGCTTTTTCCGGCATAGTTCTGGAGAGATATGTCACCACTCCTTTTGTTAGAACTGGTTATGTTCACCTGGTTGGCTGGCACAGTTCTGGCTTTTAAGCATGAATCATTATTTCCCCATTCCAAAACCAGCTCTGATGAGGACTTTGTTTGAGCGGTGATTAAGGTGAAACTGGAAAACTAAGCAGCGTTCTAGTTCACAAGAGCCAAAAGCTTGAATCAGAAACTGTTAAAAATTGTCGCATCCATTCTAAATATGCATTTAGGCTGCAAATGCAGTTTGAAACTGGTTTAGCAACAGACAAATTAATCTTATGAAATTACCATTCCTAAATTCCTCAACCCATCTGAACATTTGTGAAAAACACATAAAACCCATAAAAACAGTTTGGTGCCAAAAAACCAACCAGTTCACTCTCAGTCAAAAGTATTGATGATTGTCCAAAAGTGGAACGTCTAATTCTAAGGTATTTTATTCACTCCATGTAAACTAAAAAGCAACATTAATATGCTGCCTGAAAGTTAGTAAGGAATCCAAATAAATGCCAAATAAAATTATATTATAAACCTTTATTTATAAATCTGGAGCTCCTCTGAGTAACTCTCCCATAATCACTTATAAACTTGATGAATTGTGAACAAAATACTAAACAAAAGTTATAGTCAGACTGACTTAATTAATTTTACTTTGTTTTCGTCAAGACACCTGAGCTGCTTTACAGTAATGAGCTCAGTGTGAAAATCATCTGATACTGGGCTGTTCGCTACATTCAGTCTGTTCCTCTACTTGGTTTTAATGTGTGTAAAAACATGAAAAAAAAGTACTTTTTTGCTTATAAAAGCTTGTTTAATTTTTCAATTGGGTCCTCACAAAACAAAACAGATCCCAGTCCTATTTTACTCTACTACCTTAGAAATAAAATATTTTAATGTACCCCTAGCAATGCACTGACGGACCACTAGGTGGGCATCACTGCCGTAGGGGGCTGGTGCCGATCTTCAGCGCTCCTTCAGTCCTCTGTGGAGCTGATGAGCATAATATCTGGTTAAAATGTCTAATTCTCAGTGCATTAAAATCAAAAAGACAAGCTGTGACTAGCAGAGCTTATATCTGGTTAAATTAGTATGAAAACTGATTCATTAATTAATTTTTCAAGACAGAAATTTCTTTCTCAAAGTGATTTCATATTGGTGAGACTGAATGATGTACTTTCTGGGTTGCAGGTACCCTTCATTGTAAAGAAAGAAGACAATTCAAAGAAAGACAAAAACAACTTGACAGTTGAGGTATATCCTTATTTTTTTTTTTCTTATCTCCTTAACTCATGCACACACTTGTACAATTGTAAGTGTTTTTTTGTGTGTGTTTCAGACATCACAGAAGATGAGGTCCCTTTCTGACCCTTCCTCCAATGCTGCAGAGGGAAACACAGAACTGGTACATCTTAGAAAATGGTGGGAAAAAATGACTTTTGGTTTGGGAAGCTTATTATTAACAATCGTACTGCTTTCTGATTGTTTGCTAGGATGCAGATTACAGATGGTCTTTCCCATCCGATTCAGTCGATTCAATCTACGACATTCCCAGGTGTGACCGACTTAAAAAGGTTGGTACTATGTTGAATATTAGTTTTATTACAATTCTAAACTGTCTCAATAATCATTATTATTATTATTTTTTCTTTTAATTCAAAAAGATGCCAAAACAGCCATTTATGGTCCCCGTGAGAAGTCTGCTCAGTCATAATTCATATAAATGTCGTTCATTTCTTAGATTTTCATTATCCGGTGCTGAGCTATAAAGAACACCAATATGAGTCCTATATCTTTTAGGGTTGTACTTTAATCTTGTGTTTTTTCCCCATCAGCAGGCTTCTTGCATTATTCTTTTACCCAGAATCAATTATCTGCTATTTTCTGATCTGGACTCAGCTGTGATCAGTATTAGACTTGGAGACTTAATTAAACTTTGTTAGAATTTGGTATACACAGTACGTATGCAAAACGAAATTTTGACAGCTTTCACCAGTGAAATTAACATTACCGTTTATAAAGTGAAGCAGTGATCAAGAATGTAGACAGTTTAGGAGAAAAGGAAAACCAGTTTAAAGTCATGGTGCAAAAGGCATTGATATGGAAAGGTTCACTGCTGTGCAAAAAAAAAATAAATATGGTGCAAAATACAGTGGAACATTGAGTTGTGTTCTATTTAAAGGGATTACAAAAAAAGGGATTATTTAACAGAATTATTATCATCCTGCCTTATTAGCTCGGAAAACCGGTTGTTTATCAAGCTGCAGCACCCAGTTTGTTCGATGTTTGAATTGGCCAGCTGTTGGTGATATCAACTTAAAGAATCTGAAGGTGTTTCTTCATTTTAATTTCTATTCCGCTGTGTGCAATGAACTAGAACCAATTGCATGTAGCACAATCCTGCTTCCTCTACCATGTTCTACCATAGTCTTTTTTTTTCTCTGTAACTTTAAAAAAAATATGTATTAGTATATTCTGATCACATTTTCCAGGGAGCTATTCCGAGTTTCTTATAGTATCATGAAACCTGTTTCCCAATTGATGGCAGGTTCAAACCATGGTGGCTTTCATGTTATTCCTGAACGTCTTAATTCCAGCAATGCCTAAAAAAATAGGAAACAACTTTATTTGCTTAATGATGCATTTCAGCTTGCGGCCTTTATTGGCTTTTTTTGAGGGCAACAAACCAAAGCAAGCTGATCAGCAAATTAAGTTATTTCCTCGTACTTCAGTTGCTGTTGGTGTCCTTATTTCATCAGTTTTCGTGACTATCTAATTGCCTCTTGGAGCCAGTGAAGTTGTGCCAAAAGCAAGACAGTTATGAGTCAGATAGCTAAAGCGTATTCGGTTTCGGTTAAATTCTGACCTCAAACCTGTTAGAAAATAAACCTTTTGAATTTGGGTAGAAGCCATCTGCAAGTTAGGAAACCACCTAGCCCAGGGACATGCTGCATTTCCAAATTTCAGTTGTTGCTCACATGTACATTTGTAAACTAGAGAGATTTACTTCTTGTTTTTAAAAAGAAATATTGGAGGTTTTTGTATACACATGCCTCCTCGAAAACAGATCTGCTCCAATTAGTCTGTAAACAGTGTGTTATGCCCATTGCAAATGAATGTAAACTCTCTGTACATGTATGCATAAAGACCATTAGCTGGTTCATAATAGATTTATGTCTTCTTATTCTGCAAGGAATCGTTTAGGAGTGGGATGATGTGGACATCCAGCATGGAGTCAATGTGAGTGCCTGCTAATTCTTCAATTTAAATACAAAATCGACACATTTCAGAGGCTAACATTTTCAAAATTTGTTTCTTCAAGGTATATATCGATGAACGCATTTAAATGCACTGAAGCAACACCTCGAGCTGAGTGAGTACTTTCTCTTTTTTTGCACTATGATTATGCAGAAAAACTTTTTTCTTTTTATCCCTGCTGTTGTGCAACGGCTTAAAATGTGGCTTTCAGCGACCGTGAAGTTGAAATGGTTACCAATGGCACCCTGATGAGGTCCATCTGTGCTGTCTATGAAAAATTCATAGCACAGAGATCATCTCTTCTGATATCAGAGGACGCCCTCTCTGAAGACGGGTACGTCTCAAAGTGACGCTGCTGTATGTGTTTTCTTTATCACCTATTTTTACACCGCAAAATTGTACGTCCTTTGAGCAATCTTGGAGAGGCAATACTTTAGAGCTTGTCGAGCAGGTTATAGGTAATCCTCATGATCTCTGGTTTACTGTAACTCTTTGCACTGTGGATTTTCTTCACAGGTTACAGAAGAGCAGAGAACTCCTGTGTTTCTTGTATATGCTTAGTTTTGATAATCATCTTGGAATCACTGCATGCTTAGCTATTCTATGCACTGGAGTGAACCCTTTCCTGTCAACTTATGCACATACAGGTGCTGGTCATAAAATTAGAATATCATGAAAAAGTAGATTGATTTCAGTAATTCCATTTAAAAAGTGAAACTTGTATATTATATTCATACATTACATACAAACTCATATATTTCAGATGTTTATTTTGTTTAATTTTGATGATTACAAATGACAACAAATGAAAATCTCAAATTCATCATATCAGAAAATTAGAATATTGTGAAAAGGTTCAAAATTGATGGCCCCTGGTGCCACACTCTAATCAGCTAATTAACTCAAACCACCTGCAAAAGCCTTTAAATGGTCTTTCAGTCTAGTTCTATAGGCTACACAATCATGGGGAAGACTGCTGACTTGACAGTTGTCCAAAAGACGACCATCGACACCTTGCACAAGGAGGGCAAGACACAAAAGGTCATCGCTAAAGAGGCTGGCTGTTCACAGAGCTCAGTGTCCAAGCACATTAATAGAGAGGCGAAGGGAAGGAAAAGATGTGGTCGAAAAAAGTGTACAAGGAAGAGAGATAACCGCACCCTGGAGAGGATTGTGAAACAAAACCCCTTCAAAAATGTGGGGGAGATTCACAAAGAGTGGACTGCAGCTGGAGTGAGTGCTTCAAGAACCACCACACACAGACGTATGAAAGACATGGGTTTCTGCTGTCGCATTCCTTGTGTCAAGCCACTCTTGAACCACAGACAGCGTCAGAAGCGTCTTGCCTGGGCTAAAGAGAAACAGAACTGGACTGCTGGTGAGTGGTCCAAAGTCATGTTCTCTGATGAAAGTAAATTTTGCATTTCCTTTGGAAATCAAGGTCCCAGAGTCTGGAGGAAAAGAAGAGAGGCACTTCATCCACGTTGCTTGAAGTCCAGTGTAAAGTTTCCACAGTCAGTGATGGTTTGGGGTGCCATGTCATCTGCTGGTGTTGGTCCATTGTGTTTTCTGAGGTCCAGGGTCAACGCAGCCACATACCAGGAAGTTTTAGAGCACTTCATGCTTCCTGCAGCTGACCAACTTTTTGGAGATGCAGATTTCATTTTCCAACAGGACTTGGCACCTGCACACAGTGCCAAAGCTACCAGTACCTGGTTGAAGGACCATGGTATCCCTGTTCTTAATTGGCCAGCAAACTCTCCTGACCTTAACCCCATAGAAAATCTATGGGGTATTGTGAAGAAGAAGATGCAATACACCAGACCCAACAATTCAGAAGAGCTAAAAGCCACTATTAGAGCAACCTGGGCTATCATAACACCTGAGCAGTGCCACAGACTGATCGACTCCATGCCACGCCGCATTGCTGCAGTAATACAGGCCAAAGGAGGCCCAACTAAATACTGAGTGCTGTACATGCTCATACTTTTCATGTTCATACTTTTCAGTTGGCCAACATTTCTATAAATCCTTTGTTTTTATTGGTCTTCAGTAATATTCTAATTTTCTGATATGATGAATTTGAGATTTTCATTTGTTGTCATTTGTAATCATCAAAATTAAACAAAATAAACATCTGAAATATATGAGTTTGTATGTAATGTATGAATATAATATACAAGTTTCACTTTTTAAATGGAATTACTGAAATCAATCTACTTTTTCATGATATTCTAATTTTATGACCAGCACCTGTAGGAATCCTAAGTGGTAGACAAACACAAAGGAGAGCATGTTTGTGACACTGAAGGAAATGCCTTCATCAGGTCAACAAACACCTTCAGAAGAAGTCAGATCGCTGGTTGGGAGGTTTATAGCAGGATTAGCTTGTTTAACTACATCCAGATCTTTGAATAATCTGGTAATTTAACACATCATGTAGCCCTTTATCATTTATCATGAAAGTGTAGAAAGTATAGCAGAACTGGGAGCCTGCTGACACATGGTAATTCACCTAATCATAGAGACTTAGGGCCGGATTTATCAAGATCCAATTTTGCGTGCAGTAATTTGCGCTCGCAAACTGGAATTTTGCGCGAGGGGCTGAACCATGGTTTGTGGGTGATTTAACAAGAGCGATTGCGTAACTGGTGGCAGGTGCAAAACTGTTGGAGACGCCCTATTTAAATGATGGTTTTGCGCGTTTTGTGGTTTGCGGCAAAGTAGTTTGTAGTTTTTACAAACTAGTGCATTAAGAAATTTAAATCTTACAGTGACACCCCCACCCCCTCCAAAAATAAAATAAAATATAAATATATATATATATATATATATATATATATATATATATATATATATATATATATATATATATATGGTGGTATGTGGCTAAATTTCTACTTCACTGCAGTAAAAAAAAAAAAAAAACAGGTGTTTTGTATTGGCCTGTAGAAAAATGCACATACCAAATGGCTCACAAGAAGTGACTGTGGATGAGATTACTGTGCGTACGCATCCCCGCAGCATTGGCATGTTGCTCCACAGGCGCAGGAGGGAGGTCGAGGTTCTCCGATAGGGCGTCAGGGCGACATGGCATTTAGAAGGGAGATCCCAGCTCTCGCTGCAACCGTACGCTGGAATGAACCCAGATGCAAAAAAGTGCAATGTTGCAAGGAGTTTTGTGATATCTGGTATTGCGTGGGTCCTCCTTGTGGCTGGCTCCAAATCCATTCGGAGTTCCCCCAACAGCTCCAAAATGGCAATGCTGGATAAACGATATGTTTTAATGATCGTTTCCTCAGTCATTCCAAAAATATTCACACGGAGTGAAAAAATGCGTTCTCTGCGTCTCCTTGCTTCATTTCGATGTCTCCTTCTTGCAACAATAACCGCTGCCATGTGTGCGCAATTACGCATACAGACCATTTGCACCTTCTTTTCAAACGTGTTAAATATAGAGTCAGATACCGATACGTACAAAATTGCTTTCAGGTTTGATAAATCGCTTTGCGAGTGCTAAATTAATATATTTACATGTTTTCCTCCCACAAGATGCACTTTTGCGTGTAAACGCCACATATTGCATATTCATTGCAGAAAAAGTACTAAATGGATAAGAGGCGCTATTTAGCACGTTTTAAAGACCAAATCCTTTTAGCACGCTGTTGATAGATCAGTTTGTACATTTTTTAGCGTGCGCAGTGAAATAGCTCACGTTTTTATACACGCAAACCTTTGATAGATCCGGCCCGGCCCTTAGTGACAGAAGAAGCTACGAAGGCAATGGTGACTCTGGAGGAGCTAGAGAGATTTTAGAAACTGTTGACATTTTTGTCAGTTAGGCAGCAACTCTATGTTCATTCAAAGCTATGAGGAGTTCTGGTTGCCAGAATGGAAGGGTCTGATCTTTTTGACCTTTTTGCAAAAGACTGTGTGTGAAAGACAGCTAGCTTTACAATGGAACAGTTTAGATTAAAGCTGTGCATGTTAGAACGGCTCATTCAAAGCCCAGACCAAAATCCAACTGAGAGTCATGAGCAGGAAACATTAAAAAATGCTTTATATTCATTTTGACTGATCTTGAGCTTTACATAACAGAGAATAGACAGGAATTTCAGTCTCTAGATATTCATAGTAAGCTCCAAATGCAGTGAAATGTGGTTCAACAAAGTATAGACTAAAAGGAGCCAAATATAAGACATTGAAATACAGTTTGTGTACTTATTTCTGATCTCATATTGCTGGTTACATAAAATACCTGTAAAAGGTATAAAAAGTTATAGTTGTGATAGGATAAAACTGGAGAAAACTCTTTTGCAATACGCTAAATTATAAAAGTTTTACACATAGGTGGCATCAAGGTTCTTAGATTTGTTTTTAAGAATGCAGAAATTTTCATTTCCTTCTTGAGAATTATTCTCAACAACAATACAGCAGAGGCCCTTTGTTGGCTTATTTTAGAGTATATTTACGATAAAGTCAGATCAGCTAAGCATAACACGCCTCTTCTCTGAAAAATGACTCCTGCTCCTATCGACTTAAATCCCTCCGTTCTGGTACATCTTTTGATCTCATCCTTGCCCCGCCAGAAAAAAAGAATTCCTGAAATCTGAATCACCATGTTTGACCGTAGCAATGTTGTCAGTGAGGCGATAATTAATGCTCCTCTTCCTGTACAAATGTCCTGTAAGAGCTTTTCCTTATTCGGTGTCATCAGAATAGGTTTGTCTTTTGCAGAAAAACATTTGATCAGATTTCACCTTTTTCATATGTGCAGAAAATCTAATTGATGTGTCCTGCAATATAAAAAAAAAACCTTATCTGAGCATTGCATTCTAGATAGGGCTGAAAAGGCAGGTCTGTGTAGCCTGTATATATATGTAAAGCTTTTTTTTTAGAAGAAAATGGAGGAAACTGCTTTGCAATGTAGGGTTTAAAGTGCTGCAAATATTCCCAACCTCAGGGAATCCGGTTTTGCAGGTTTATGCAAGGTTTTAATTTTCAACCGGTCTGCAGCAGATATATCCTTGTTTGGACTAGTTTCCTTGAGAATTTTTTTTTTTTTTTCAAACTCTGATTTTCAGTCAGGAGGACAGCAGAGTTTGTGATGACCGCTTTGACCTTCCTGTTCAGACAAGTATTCATCAGTGCCCCACAGAGACAAAACTGTTCTTGCCTCTTAAAATTACTCTGTGCCATTATCTGGTACTTGTATGCTGCTGTTTGCTTCAGTGAATTTCCTCCACTATCAAACTGTGTAATAATTATTAATTTCGCTGTGATTTCAAGCCAACTGTGGCAAATTAAAGTCCTTTTATGGCTAATTAAAGAGATGAAAAAAAACATCCTCATCTAAATTTGGCATTATCTGTTAATTAAAATGTGCCTGTGACTTGGCAGCAGGTTGGACATTATGTCTTGATCCCTTGGTGTTCCTATAAACTCTTAAAAAAAAAAGATCTTCATTTGGTTTGTATTGTCACACACAAAGCTGTTTCAAACCGTTTGCAATTGGTTCCTTCTTTTCTTCTTGCTGTTTCTTTATCTCCTAATTTTCATTTATAATATGTTTTACCTTATATTTACATTTTATAACACATTTTTTCTCTTTAATCTAGTTTGCATTTTATTTCATATTATGAGGTGATTCCGTGTTTATTGATGGTTATTTTACAGATTGGTGGAGGGTCATTTGTTCAGCAAGTTAAAGCAACACAGGACATTAGTTCATGCCACAGTAGGCAATAACTCTCAAGACCAGTTTTACTTACTATTGGTCAGATTAGTTTATAGTTTATTTGCAGTGGTGTCAAAAGTACACACATTTGTTACTTAATTAGAAGTATAGATACTGTAGTTTAAAAACACTCTGGTAAAAGTTGAAGTATCAAGTAAATCAAGTAAAAGTGAAAAAGTATGTGCTCCAAAAACTACTTAAGGTATTAAAGTATAACGTAACGTTTAAAAAAAAAAAAACAGCCAGATGCCACTATATGAATTGAAAGCTCAATTTTTATACTATTTTGAAAAATTCTTTGAGATAGGGCCAAGGATGAGGGAGGTCTTGTTGGTCTCCATCTCCCGATACGCTCTCGCCTGTTTCCGACCTTTCAACATCTTTTTCTGAATCTGACATTGTAGCACAGCATAGACAATTCTCGTTTGCAGATTGAAGAACACCTGCTTGCTTCTGATGATTTCCTTTAGCTAACCAATGAGTGTTTGCGTTATATGACTCATCCAATCACACTAGTTATCACTAGATGTGGATGGTGCCAATAATCTGCATTGGATGGCGCACATGACGTGAAATAAATATTTATAAACATTAAACCGAAGCCAAGAGTAACGAGTAACGTTTGTTTTAAAAATGTAAGGAATAGAAAGTACAGATACTTGTGTGAAAATGTAATGAGTAGAAGTCAGAATAAGGAAGAAAAATAAGTAATGGAGTAAAGTAAAGATACCTAAAAAGTGTACTTAAGTACAGTAACGAAGTATTTGTACTTCGTTACTTGACACCTCTGTTTATTTGTAATATTTCTTAATATTTTTACTTAGACTTACTTAGACTTAGACAACTTTTATTGTCATTTTAATTATTTTTATATATTTTCAATTCAATCAAAGCTTATTTTGCTTACCAGGTTATTTTCTTAAGAAACTTTAGGCATATGCAAATCAGAGATCATTAATGTAAGAGTATAACAAGAACCGAGCAGACCTCCTACCGTCCTTGTTTGTAGCAAGATGGTTCTAGGTTTGATTTGAGTTTGCATGTTCTCCCAGAGCATGCAGGGGTTCTCTCCAGGTACTCGGACTTCCCCCTACAGTCCAAAAACATGACTGTTAGGTTAAATAGCTTCTCTACAATCTGCTTAGGTTTGAGTGTGTGCATAAATGGTTGCTTGTCCTGTTTGTCTCTGTGTTTCCCTGCGATGGACTGGCGACCTGTATAGCGTGTACCCTGCCTCTCGCCCATTGACTGCTGGAGATAGGCACCAGCCCTACGGTGACCATGACAAGGACTAAGCGGGAGAAAATATGGATAGATGGATGTTTTCATTATTTACAACAAAAATCAGGCCTGTCAAAAGTTACCTTTTTGCCTTAAGACAAATGAGGCTTTCTTTTATCTCTGAAAACTGTCTTACTGTATTTTTGTGAGAAATCACCAAAGACTATCCATTGCAGGCAGCTAAAAAATGTCCCAGGGTTTGATGGTATAACCTCTTGTGCTGCTCTTGGGTTGTTGTTTTCACAGAGATGACAAAAATCAATCTTCAGATTTCAGCAACAGCTCCAGCAGTGCCAGTTCTCCTGTTGACACACCAGATTTAAATGGGCTGGAAAAGCAAGACCTATCTGAGAGGTAACAATGCTAAAATATTCTTATATGATGGGAATCCTGTTTAGATATAATATATGACAAACTAAACTATCCAGTTTTTAGGTTATGTTAAGTTTGACTTGTAGAGTGATTGAAAAGAGCTCCAGGAAATATCTGGAAACCCCCACTTTGGCACTCCCTGTCTGGCTGCAAAAAAAGAACAGCCGCTGATGTAACTGCATCATCATCACTGTAAACAAATAACAAAAGGCTTTACGACATTTTGGTGACTCGTTGAGATGAACTTGACCTGGAAAAATGCTTGGATGTTGTTGAACAAGTTTGAGTGGTTTCTAGAGGGTTCTTAGTATTTACCATGGTGCAATGACAAATTATACAACTGTTACATCAAGCATTAAGTTTCTTTTAAAACAATTAAAGACACACATACACAGATAATCACCGAAAACATCAACCAGACCTTTTCCCCAGAGTACATTGAGTTGATTATTATTGCTATTATTTATGCTTATTATCTGCCTAACTGCAGCAAAGAAAACTTACACACTGAATCCGTTTAAGCTCAATACTTACACATTACCCTAAAACACGGTGATGGCAGCATGATACCGTGGGGATGAATTAGATTTTTTTGTTGTTTGTTTTTTTTATGCACAAACAATCCATTTGTGGCAGTGCAACATTTCAGAATGGAGTGAAGATATAACACACAGCTAGAGTTTCATTTACATTGCTTTAGATCGAAGCTCATTTTTGTTAGAATTTCTTAGTTATATAGGATAACCAGGTTCAGGTAAAAAAAAAGAATCCATTTTGCTTCAAAAACCAGGATAAACATTATACCTGTAAATCCGCCTGAGAACAATAGGCACACATTTGTGATGCTAAGTTTATTGGGCCAGAAAAGCTTGCAGAGGCTGAAATATCCGGAGGCTGAGCAGTTAAATACAATGGTGTTTGTGGTAGTAGTGTGACAAAAAAATACTTTTCTAAAGTACCATCTCACACCGTTTTTTTTTTTTTGCAATTACATGAAATGCAGCTTGCAGAACAAAAACATTATGTGTTCCATATTCTTTCTAATTGTATTTGAAATAGCTAAGTACAAGAATAAAGATATTAATAATCCCTTTTATTTTGGTTTCAAGCCCTGAGTGCCGCACCCAAGAGAACATAGAGTTCATGGTGAAGCATTCAGATTTGAAAAACTACCTCACACTCACAGAGTCAGAGGGGAAGCCAAGGTATGTTTATCAAATTATATTAAAGCATCACAATATTCCATTTTCTTAGGCTGCTTTATTAGAGATATACAATTTGCCCCTATATCTGGAGGAGAAGTAGAGAAACAAGTCAAGGAAAGTGTTTCCACATGTATTAACACTCATTTAAACGTAAACCTGTAGTGAACTTGTTGCAGCCTCACCTCACCCTTGAGCCACTATATTCACAGATACTCGTTGTGTGAGAGCATAGAACAAACAAGGCAAGGCTAGTCACAATGCTGTTTGTCTTTATTTGTTTACTTTCACTGTGGGGAAAAAGCTCCTTAATCAGGCATAACTCCTATATGAGCTCTCTGCTCCTTTCATTCACACATACTGCACTAGTTTATTCTTATGTTTATTTTATGCATTTAGCATACGCTTTTATCCAAAGCGACTTATAAAGTAGACACAATGTTACAGTCATCATCAATAGGACCATAAGCTCTCTAGAGGAAAATCCCTAGTCAGAATCAGTGGTGACAGCAAAGAGATTTAGGAAAGTACAGAAAGATTAGTAGAGGGGTACAGAGCCATGACTAAGAGTTAGGATAGGAGATGCTCTTTCAAGAGGTGGGTCTTTAGGAGTTTCCTAAAGATAGAAAGGGACGCTGCTGTTCTTGTAGCACTTGTTAGGTCATTCCACCATCTTGGAATAACACATGAAAACAGTCTGAATTGTCTTAAGAGTGGTGTAGACACTGCTAGATGCAGGGATTATGCGTGGATTAGCAACTACTTAATGGAATAGATAGTTCAGATTCATTAGTTTAAAATACACCATTTAGATTAGATTAGATTAAATTCAACTTTATTGTCATTACACAGGTACAGGTAGAAGGCAACGAAATGCAGTTTAGGTCTAACCAGAAGTGTTATAGCAGCAAGTGCAGGATAAATAATGGTTCCATACATACAGGACATGGGTTTCTACTGAATAAATGTAGAGATGAATACCATTATAAACAGAATCTTACTAATAGATGAATATAATATATAGATAACTGGTGTTATGAACTAAATTTACAGCTGGATATGTACCAAATATAATATACAGGTGGATATTACTATAAAAAGGGTTTTTACAGTTATGTACAAAAGCATAATATACAGATGGATTTTACTATAAAATGAATAAATAAAGTTTGGACAGAAGCTATCTAAATTAAAGTGCCGTTGAAAGGTAATTGCATATTACAGTCAAATTATAAACAGTGAATAAACAGTCAGCAGTGCAAATCAATGTTCGGTCAAGTTGAGTAGTGCAAGATGCATGTAAACAGTTGTTACAATAGTAACAGTCAGGAGTGCAGGTGAACATTACAGTCTTATAAAAAACAGAATAGCAAAATAATTTAGAGAATAATACATCTAATTTCTATGTTATAAAACATAGAGAATGTATTAAATGCCACTGTTCTTTAGTATGCATATGCAGCAAAAACATTTTTTAACAGCATTCTATAAATTTGACAAAAAAAAATATTTTTACAGCATATTAATCTTATATGCTATTTAATGTTTGCCTTAAACAGAAATGGTTGCATAAGGCAACCATTAAATGGCAATATCTAACCCATGTCCCCATAGTACCAATATTAATAATGTTTTACTGTCCCACTTCAAAAGATTATTACTAGAACAGCAGCCTTTTGGCAAAAAACAGTAAACAATTCAGAACAAAATCTTAGATCTTTGACTATCCAGCTAATTGTGTTGCAGGTCTAAATTACATTTACTACAGTACATTTACTTCTGTTCTAACTTCTTCAGTTGTTGGATTTGCTGCAGTGCTAAGAGCGTTTGGAGCCAATTCTGCACATGACAGAAACTGCAATATAGCATAAGGATTTTTTTTTTAAATATATATAACCTTCTCTTCCAGTTACTCCTGTGGCACTGATGCTAGTTTGCATACAAAGAACAGTGTGTAGAGGATGAGACTGACCTGTTTAATCTTAATCTTAAACAGTTTTGCAGCAAAAAATGCCTTTATTCTCATCCTGTTACAGAAAAAATAAAATTAGAAGTTCAAAACGTAGGCAATGAGCCTAAATTATATTTGTTTGTTTTAGTTTATAGAACTGCCTTTCAGTACAAACTGTATTTGAAGATCCTAGAAATACAATAAAACTAATTTAAAGGATTCAAATAATCACTTCCTAGAAATTAAGTGAATTTCTAGATGTCCAGAGTGTTAAAACAAATCTTATTGTACCAAGTTATAACATTTCTCCCTTCCTGTATGAGCTAGCTGTGTTAACTAAGCTTGTATGTTTACAGAAAAACTCTTTACCAATGTTACCTTGAGTTCTCTCAGTTCATTGGCATTGCAGCTAATAGTATTGCTAGCACATGCTAATTTTAAAACATTAAAAAGTTTGCTGTGTCTGCTTTTTTTTATGTTAGCCATTTATTGTTTCTATGTCCGTTATTCATTTGGGGCTTTGTGTCAGACAACTAGTGTTGTACCTCTATAATGGCAAACCTTGTAATCTATATTTAGACTTAAACAACTTTTATTGTCATTTTGTATACACAGAGTGTGCATATAGCTGCATTAAATCTTTGAGGAAATCTTAATTATGGTTCCGATAATGTTTGAGAAGGAAATTACCTTAATTTGTCATTTTATGTCTCTCTTAAAGTAAAATCAGAATGAATAGTTTTTCTTAATCAGTGTTTTAGAATCCCTGGTTTAAATCGATGCCATCACTGGTAGAGTAACTTCATATCTGAACTATTTTTCAAACACCTTGTGGCCCAGAGGACTTAAACTCTTTTTACATTTAAACGTACAATATGATAAAAGAGCGACAGAACTGGTGCATTAATTGTTTAATCCAGAAATCGCAGAAAGTTGAAAACCATCTGTTAATTGGACTATTGTTTATGTTTGCAACAGTGTGTCTGACTGGGCAGGACAGCCGCAGTCAGTGTGCCTCTTCCACAAGGGGGACCAAGTCCTGGCAATAAACGACCTTCACACCAGCAGCGTGGAGGACTTTAACATGTTTGTCAGCAAGTCGCTAAAGAAGGAGGTACAGTCATTGCTTCCGACAGAAATACAGAAATTTGATCAGGATTTCAATGCACTGTTGTACTCAATCTGACGAGAGAATCTGATTTCAGGTGAAAGTGACCGTCCGCCGTCTGCAGGGATCCAAGCCTTTGTAGGGACTGAGGCACTGACCAGAGCAACTTTCTGTGACAATCTGTTCCATCTACTATTGGTCTTCAAGAAGTTTTAAACTAAAAGATCTCATACCTTAAAATGTTTTATTTCCTGGGTGTTGGATATGTGTATTGGGTTGCTGCCTTTAGAAGGAAACAACAGGTGAATGTCACAGTGAAATGTATTTCCTAATGCCATCTCAATGGTGCAATGTTTAACACCTTCTTTATGCAAGCTCTTGTCCTTGAGCCAGCATTTTTATGTTACATTCATTTTTTCTTTGATGCATTTTTATTAATTAATACAGTTTTGACACACTAGCCACCAAAAACTAAAACACATAAAGAAAGTTCAAAGTCAGAAATATTTCTAGCTGGGGTTGCTTGTAAGGTAGAGCCATCAATATAATTTACAAATTTCCATTAACAACTTTAAGGGAATGCCAGCATGCAAACTGTCCACTAAGACAAGGCTCATTCTTGCTCTTTCTGCAACTAGTCATTTTTCAGAGCAATGACCCAAATGAATGGCATGTCTCCGAAATCACAAAAGGGGAAACCTGTTTGTAAGCATTTAGTTATATCACAGAAAGGTTGACATGTTTTAACTTAAGTTATGATGTAACTTAACTTAACTTTTTTTTTTTGATGGACCCTGCTAGCAATCAGTGGTTGTTTTAAAGTGAAACAATATAGAAAGAGACCAGTATTACACGCCTTCCTGCCCTCAGGGAGAGGTTATATAAAGGCAAAATCCTGCCATACCTTTCAGCTTTAAGTCACAGTTCTTTTAGAAACAGGAAAACAGCGTTTCGCCCCAACCATAAAAATGACAATATAGGTTCCAACAATATTTACCAAAGATTGAGCAACAGTATTCTGAATAAGGTGCTCAATCAGGCAAATTCCATCCTTTGCATAGGTGCTGTTAGGTTTGGGAAAATAAAATTAATACAAATAAAATGATACAATTATTGACCATCTCTATTTATTAGACTTTTTTTTAAGAGAAATTTATTAGAAAGCTTACAAAGTTGGAGAGTAAGAGATGCAGAACTGAATGATTGAGGGTATTCCTTCTCAAATTAGTCTCAGATCTTTGATCAAAGACACACATGAGCTCAAGGTCAACATTTTGGCAAAGCAGTCTCTCTTATGGTTTTCTGATAGCTCGAATGGAAAGAAGTGACACAGGTATTTTATCTTTAAGTGGGAAAAACAAGTTTGTTAGTCAATGACTTCACCTTGTTCTTTAGTTTGCATGTATAGTTTCATTTTATTACATTAAAATGTAGCAGATGCTGTGAAATAAAAATGTCTAAAAACCTTTTTAAGTCTTTTTTTACACAGAAATTAGCATTGACTCTTAAATAACTGGAGGATTTTAAAAACAAAAATTAGTTTATAACAGAATAAGCCAATTGTATGTTTTTGTTTTATTTATGAAAAAACGTTCAAAGCAGTAAAGGCAAAAATCCCCAATTATTTATTAGGCCCGAGCAGCGAAGAGCTGCAAAGGCCTATTGTAATTCGAAAGTTTGTTTTTTTCCCCAATAAAAGGCTAATTTGGCGCCACTATAGCATATTCAAAAACTCACCAATTGTGCCCCATGTAAAATGTAAATATTTTAATGAAATCAGAAATGAGCGTGACCAAATGCCACAACAGCGTCCCCTAAGGAGAGATGGGGAAACCCATAAGTCACAGAAATTCAAAATTTGGTATATGGGGAGATCTCTAAATATCGTGGGGAAAAATAAGGCCCAATCCCAAACCGGACCCTAAATACTAACACCTAAGCACTAACCCTCCGTTCCTGTGGAAGGTCTGCCACATTAAGGGCCATCCCAAACCACAAAGTGGGTAGGGCCCTTAGATAGTGAGTCTGCATCATTGCAGGCTGGCTTGAATTTGTCAGTGGGTGTAATGGTGACCTACTGTAAAGAGGAGGAAAACTGTTTGTTCAAATGTAAGTTCCACTGGTTTGCTGCATCTTCCTCACACTGACAGAAAATCACAATTTAGGAAAAAGATGTGTTTAATTCCTAATTTTGGATTTGGGCCAAATCAAGATATGTATGGGGGCAGCGGCACGAGGCCCCTGTCTTTGCAATGGGCCAAACGGCGCCGAGCTGCAAGGGCCACCCAACGCCACTTGCCGCTTTAATTTTAATTTCTGTTTAAACAGCTCACAGCAAAGTGTTTTTTTCTAGCATCTTGTCAACAAGCAAAAAAAAAAAAAAAAAAAAAAAAAAAAAAGGAAATTATCTGAAGCTAATTAGATTTTTAACTGACGCAGTATTTGACAGTACGTGGTCTCTGGGTCTCCTCTCGTAGTTGTAACTAAGCCCATGGTTCTTCACTGGAAAATGGTGACTTGCCCTCTTCGGGTCAGAAGCAAGTTCCTGTCTCAAGTGGAGGAGTTAACTTTTCTTGTTCATGACAGGAGAACGGAGCAGGTGATTGAAAGACAGATAGGTGGCGCTGCTACCATAATGCATGCATTGAAATAGAATCAAGCAAACAAAGCAAAGATTAAAGAATTAGGTTTTTATTTAAGGCATAAAAACATATAAAAGACATAAGTACAGTTTAAGAACCTTGAAATATGCAAAATATATATATCAAGGGAATGTGGTCCCAACAGGTAGCAAATTAACTCAGCAGTTAATCGCTTAAATAATTTTTTTTCGCTGTAAATACTGCATGCTTGTTAAAACTGCTCATTAAAGGCAGTAGATTGAAGATTTATTTAATAAACTGGTCAAAGAGTGCATATCAAACCACTCAGATCATGTCAGATCAGTAATTACCTTTCATTTATTTCAGTAATAAGTCATTTGCTGAAAGATTTATATTAATATAAAAACACAATAAATCAGAACAAATTAGTGTTCAAACATTTGGCTTCAAATACCAAACTGGGGGGCTTGTTTTTTTTTAAACCAACAAACTTCTTAAAATCAGCAGCACATTTTAGAGTTTAGCTCTAGTTTCAGAAAGCCAGTCATTAAAACATTTCTCCATTGCCTTCCTGCTCGCCCAGTTGCCAACATTGACAGTAGGGATGATCTTCAGAGGCTTGAGCCACTGGACAAAACGTTTCAGCTCCAGGAAGCTGCTGTGTTCACTGTATGGGATCCCTGTCAAAAAAAAAAAAAAAAAAGGGAAGGTTGACATCTTCTAGAACATTTAAATGCCTCTCATCCTCAAGGATACAGCAATTATCTTTTTTTTCCCCAGATTAAGCTAGGAGGGTTTTCTGTCACTTTAACATTTCATTTTCCCCAGTATTTTTCCCCACATCTTAATTATCCCAACAGCAAACAAAGAAGCAATTATGTCTGCTGTTAAAATCTGACAAAGTCAGATGCTATGAAATATGGAGTATATGCAAAGCAGAAGGCAAAGTCTTGAGGCGCCTCATGTTGTTGTTTCAGTTGAAAATGCAATCAAAGGATCCCTTTGTCCTCTTAAATAGGAATCTGCAACACTGCCTCTTCTTTGCTTCAATCTTACAAATGAAGTCTGCTCTGAACAGATGTAGCAAAAATGGGGCCCAAAGAATACAGCGGGAGAAAGACGAGGATGCAAACGAACATCTGTCAGATTGACAGAAAACAGATAAGGGGAATAAGTTCAAGGCTAAAACTGGAGGCAAACCTCCAGCTTGTAGCTGCTGCTTTAATGACAGATGGCTGTGATGATGTTGACGGATTTATACATAACTTTTGAACAGAGCTGCAAGAATAACTGGTTTAATTTACTGATAAAAATCAAGTCACAGCCTATTTCAGTTTTTTAGAAAACAGTCCAACTGTGCTAAAAAAGATGACAATACAGTCTGATACTCCATCCTGGAAAGCCTTAAAGCAGTGTCTGCTCTCAACCCTCAGAGGGCGCTGTAGGCTTAAGAAAATCAATTCAGCAGCAGTCTGACTCATTGGACCACAGGAAATGTTTTTCTCAATAGGCTTGATGTATAAAGAACAGTGATCTTATGGATTAAACTCTTTTCTCTGTTAATTGAAAAACATTTCAATGAACTCTAAACCTAAATCCTCCCAGTTAACCATTTCTTCTCACCATAAATGGAGATGTTGCCACTGATCTGTGGCTGGATGTCTTCTACCGACTCCACTTGCTCGCTGAAGGTCCAGCCGGTGGGCTTGAAGGCTATCAGTCGGTCGTACTGTGCTTTAAAGCGTGCCAAGTGATCCTGCAGCTTCTGCAGAGAGCAAGATAAAAAAAAAAGAATTGCATTTAGGATGCAAGTTTTAAGCTAAGGATGCAGTATTATTGCAAACATAAGCTGTGCATTACAGTAACTGTAAAGTAAACTATGTATTTCCCTCACTTGCCTTTACTGTATCCAGTACTTTAAATCGCACTATAAACTAGTTTTAAAGCTATAGTGACTGATAAAAGACATAATCTTGTTTATCACAGCCATAACATACTTGGATATAAGGGTAAGTATCCATAAAAACAGAGTAAATGAGGACATTTTTTTTTCTCTCCCTGAAATGATGCAGAGATGTATGCAAGTGTAAAGCAAAAAAGAAAAAAAAAGAAAAACAATAATGAGAATTAAAATTGATTGATCATGCAAAATAAATAAATAAAACCCTGCTGCACCCACTTTGAAGGAGATCTGCATCATTGGGAGGACATGAACCTGGGCTGCCTTCCAGTCGGTGGTTATGCGCTCTTTGATTTGCTGAGACTCCAGGCAGCACATAGTGTTGTATTTGTCTCTGGAGAGGCTCACCTTTGACCCCAAGACCTCAGCCAGAGCTGCAAATAAAACAAAATACATTGTGTAAGCAGCAGTTTGAAATTAAATCCTAAATGAAAACAAAACCTGGATAAATTCTTCTAATTATTTCCTCTTTGATTCCTCGCACTGATAAGCTTTTTGGAGATTATGATGTCATTTCCAAACAGGTTTAGGCGTCTGTCCAAACCCCTAAAAACTGGTTCAGTAACCATGGTGTTGCCTAATTGGCCAGCAAACTGGTCTGTTCCCAACTTAATAGATGAACTATGAAGCCTCCAATGATGCAGATTTCTGAGGGCCACTTAAAGCATGCAGGGGCTTCCATTACACCTCAGCAGAA